AGTGAGTGTTTGTCTTATCGTAGCCACTCCATTAAGTACCAAACGGCACGTTTCAATTACCAACAAGACGCCGAGCTATCACAAAACGGAGAAGATTCTTCCAGTCTATTTTTCAGCAGACCTGCAAAAAGTGGTGCTATTGCCTAGATTAGACATGTTTAAAATTGCCATATTCTGTCCTAGGATCATAGCTTTCAATGAAAGTTTTGTGTCTCTGGGAGTTTCAAGCATCTTTACTTAAAACCTTATGCAGTGCTGTGCATGAAGGTATATCTGGAAGAAAGAAGGAAGATATAATAAGTACTTACAGAATTTATTGAAATCAAAAGTGACTGCACTGAAACTACTATTTGGGCCGATAATTGCACTGGTCAAAATAAAAACTGGTCATTTTTTTCATTTTTAGTACAGATTGTCAATAGCTCAGAGATTGCTGCAACAAAAATAAAAATAAAGTACCTAAAACCAGGCCATACCTTTATGTCTGCAGACAGTTTTCACCATCAAGTGGAGAATCAACTTCAGAAATAAGAAAAGTCTATGATTTTGCTGATTCTATCGACTGCGAGCAACTTGCAAATTCAGAAAAGGTGATTGTAAAGTCAATGAATGTTTAGGACTTTAACAAGTATGAAGATCATTCATCTCAATATAAATTTAAAAAACATGATGAAAGGACGTACATAAAAGATATTGCCTGTGACGAGGTGCATAGAAATTCTATGTCCATTTTTGTTAAAGCTGCTCAAGATGGAAGTACGAAAGAAATCAACTTCCTCAAAACAAAGTTAGTAATCCCAAGAGGATTACTCAAGAAAGAAAGTCAAATTGAAGAAGTTAAGTGATCTCATCCCAAAAAACAGATTGAAATATTTTTATATACATATACCTACCTGAATTCTGTTTTATTTCGTCTCTTAGTCGCTTAAATATTTGACACAAGTTAAATTTACCTACATTTAAACTAGTACCAAGGCATAAAATAGAAAATGATTGCTAACTACAAACGCAGTATTGAGCACGTGCTAGGTGATTTTACAGTAATAAACACAAGTACTGCATTTAGTCTTAGTGATACTGTAATGCCCGCAAGTCCAGAATGTTGATGAAAATGCAGTACTAAGCATTTTATCCAAAAAAGGCAATAAAGTAAAGAATAAAATATGCCAATAGAAAGCTCGATTTTTTTACTTTTTTTAGGTTACACTTTAAAAATTATATAACAGAGATTTCTTGATTAGATATTGCGAAATATGTTTATCGCGTTTATCTCAAAACCGTAATTCTGTAAGTACTGCGTTTGCAATAAGGAGGGCAGAAATCTTCCCACCAACATTCCTCTCTCTCTCTAGCAACAACAACTATTCTAAAAAGGCAATGGCTACTGTTGACTAAATGTCAGTCTAGAAATAGAGACTCCAGTTACGGTTGGAGGCGTGCTAAACACTCTAGGTATGCCGAGGCGACCGCAAATAGTATGCACTTTATTATGTTCGCACAGAAGCCGACGTCATCGCAACGGAACATACCGCACTGATTACATGATTGTCTCGTTGACATCTTCCCACGGTCTATCGTCCCCGTCAATGACTAGAGAATTCAAAAGGGTATTGCGTAATATTAAGGTCGTGGTAATCATTATAAAACAATGCTTATTGTGTATGTTCAGAGGCTCTGGTATGTAGAACGTAGAAGTATAAAGTATGTTTACCGGTGCCCCAAACCCTCCTCAAAATCTCGTCGATGGGGATAGTTTGCCTCCTATACCATTAAAAAACTGTTGTTATTATTATTAGTAAATAACTGAATACCAAGAACGCGTTCCAATTCTTGGTCGTTCGTTAATCGTTATAAAATACTTATTTAAAAAAAAAAAAAACAATTCTCCCTCATCACTGACTTACTACTAGGTTTTTGAAAGTCTGTTTTGGCGCCTGTTTTGCACCGTGGCAGTGACAATTACCAAAAGGAAATCGGAAACTCAAGAGCCACTGCATACTGTTGATTTGTAAACAGACGATAGTATAACTACTATTATCTGACGACTGTGATCAAACAAGCATCAAGTCAGTCTTACGGTGGTGAGCCCGATACACTGCTTTGTATTTTTAAAATACTTGTTGCAGAAATCCCTGAAATCTCCCTTACTACAACTATCACCCGACTGTTTAGTTTATACGCACACATGTACTTAGGCATATTGACAGTTGGGCAATAAATAGTAGTCAATAGTTACATGCAGTACGTCCTACTTCACTTTATCGGTTAGTGACGTAATCAATCTCACGTGGGTAGATGCGAGTGTTTTAGCGGAAATTTTGAAAAGTAACCTCATTATTTTCAATAATCTTTTTATAGCACATTTTTTTGAAATAAATAAGTGCCAAATCATAATAGCGGTATTTAGAAAATTTCTCTACATACCTTAATTGAATTTAATAACCTGATGGTCGAGTGGCTAGTTACTCTGACTGCTAAGCTGGAGGTCGTGGCTTCGATTCGAGCCCATGATAAATACCTAATTGTGTGATGATCGCGTAGATTTGTTCTGTGTCTGGGTGTCATTTATATATTTTATTAATCAGCAGTCTGGTTACCATAGCATAGGCCCTGCCCATTTTGGGATCAGACTGCCTTTTGTAAGAGGCGTGACGCTATAATTATTACTATTATTACCTTTAAATTGGTAGTCATTATTTGTATTGTGTAATATACAATCTATCATCAACAGCCTCTACTAGCTCACTGCTGGACATAGGCCCCTTAACAAGAAGGGTTTGGCCTACTATACCACGTTGGCCAGACGGGTTGGTATAGGATTTGTTTTAAGTTTTTCTTCTCTTTGCAGTGCTGTTCTCTTGCGTAGTTTGTTCCTTTAGTCGGCTTTTACGACACCCACGGGATGAATAGGGATGGTGACATTGCGTATTCTTAATCCGTCACTATTTCGTTCTTAATACAATCTATACCACTGTTATAAAGCCGGAGAGTTTTTTTGTCTCATTAACTGAGTGGTTCGAATTGGTTCGAACCACTCAGGTTACTGGTTCGAATTGAATAATTGAGATTGTATGAGCATCAATGAAAAATGTTCCATAAACGGGGAAAATTTATTCCTTTTTAGAAAAGTAGACAAAGTGGCGCGTGTCAACTATTTTGTACCTATGTAAAGTTAATGTTCTCACCATTAAATAAAGTGTTCTTGAAATGTAAGCAAGGACCGTGTAAGGCTTCTAGTTAGACAACAACAAAGCGCGTCGGAGCAAGGGGTGTGCGATTGCGTTAACAAAGCGGTATTCCCCCACAAAGTTGTCAAGGGATTAATGACCTAAGACAACGCTTTACAATTATATACGTTAATAACGTGAACATAATACTTTGTACTTTTTTTTTAATTATGGCATACGGAATCACATCATCTTTGGAAGGAATACTTATTTTTATATGAATTTTCAAGAATTGCAGAAAGTAAATATTTTAAAACAGTTTGTGCGAAAAATTATATAAATTTATAGGTGTCCGTTATAGCGCTCCCACATAGGAGATTGAGAGAGATGAGTTCCTACATGTCGTAGATGGCCTGAGGTACGTCGGGGTACCAGGGATTTCCTTTCTAGGGTACACCTAGTTACCCGGCTACTGGTACCCGGGACGGCGTGCGGGTTTTGGTCGGTTCTAGTCCGACGTGGCCACTCCACCGGGAGGTAGTATCTGAGGGGATTTCCGCACACAAAAAAAGGTGTCCTTTATATATCTTGATCTGTCATGGTACAAAAGTCAATTACAGCTCGAGTTATACTATTCAATGAAAACAAGATGTTCAAAACAGTTGAATTTTTAATGTCAGGAGATATCTGGTTTTCATAAAGGTTTACAAACGTTTTTCAAATAATATTTTTCTAGTCCAGGCACGATATCACTGACCCAAGAACTGCTCCTTAGTCATTGATATCATTTTGCCCAGGACTTCTTGGAATGCAGTAAGAAATCTATTCTTTGAGATAGTGCTTTATCAATATGAGTCATGTCGGTAACATTCCAGTGTACATGTATACGTCAAAGAAATAAATGTGTTCATATTTCGTGCGTGTGCACTGACGGGCCAGAATTTGAAGTGTTTATACTAAAGTATCAAAAATGATCTTCTAGAAAAACTTCTACTCATGGGTTGAGTCGGACGTAGCATAAAAGAAGAGTATTCCAGCACATAAGGCGATATGCCATTTGATCTAGTGGTTCACTGCTAAGCCAGAGGTCATGGGTTCGAATCCCACCCACGACAAATATTATGTGATGAACACGATCATTTCTTCCGTGTCTGGATGTAATTTATAAATCTACATATATAAAAATGTTATGTTGGTTTGTGTATGCTTCAAAAGCTCAAAAAGTTGTTCTCCGATTGAGCTCAGATTTGAACACGATGTACAACCCGCTTTCAAGATTGTTTTTACCTAGTTTTCGCCTTAGTTTTTTTTTCTGATCAATGTAACAACAATGAGCCACAATAAAGCTTGCCATCTTTGACTTTTGACTTTGAAAGCTTTGTTACAGTTTTTTACCATGTCATAACCCTAATTTCAATACAATACAGTATTTTTTAGATTATTGTCTCTTCTAAAATATACTTTAGAATAACAAAAGTGTTGATCTGGGGCATTAAACCGACGTAAAGAAACTGATTGAGCGTTCTTAAAGCAAAACACTAAGTCGAGTTACAGTCTTTTGGATTGGCCCGGCAAAGCTAGTTATGTATATATTTAGAAAAATGTATAAGTATGTTTATTTACAAATATATGGGCCCGGTTGACTGCAAAAATAAACTTGCCCCCTATTAACTAACTGAAATTAATAAAATAGTCGACAAAATCTTGGTGTTTAATGAACTCTGTCTACCCCTTCAGGGAAAAGAATGCTTTTACGAATGAGAATTCCTGAGAACTGACTTTTCCAATAAAGTAAAATACAATGGATTTAAAATATATGTAATTATTGTCCAGGTGTTCCTGGTTACGTAATGGATGGCGTGATGGTGGTGGGCGAGCGAGAAGCAGCGCCGGCGGGTTACAGCGTGGCGGGCCGAGCGGGCAAGCGGCGTTTGTGCACGAGGGTGTCGAGGCCCGCTGCCGCGCGAACTTACCCCCCCGTCACTGACGTCATCGTGTGTTCCAAGATGAGGCAGGCACCGCAGGGGTTTATACTAGCAGGGTGAGTCCGTAACTATTGTGGTAGTATATGGTGCTAGTGAAAAGAAGAAAACTTTTAACTAGTTAATAGTACTTTCATGAGTGGGAGAGCTACAGGATGGGAGTGATACCTCGGCCTCACAGAGGCAATGATTTCGTTGCATGTCATCGAGTTAGTGAGGTTACCCCCCAGGTGTTTGGTTTTTTGTTCAATTAAAAGTACTTTTGACTGATAAAGAGTTTTGATTGTAATATTTGTACTGATGTTGTATAAGTACAGATAAACTACAGATGTTGCGACTTTTTTAAAGATTTTACAAGAGAGTACCGCAGAATTTTCGATTCATAATTTTACTGTTAGTTGCTGTAGTCCATTTGCGTTAGGAAATTGTGAAGCATCGATCAAACCCATCCCCCTGACCAATCAGGTTCCACGAAATTATCGTTTCGCACGACAGCTCGAAACCTGATTGGTCAGGTTTCGAGGCTTGACCGATGCGTCACTATGTTCTTAACGCGAATGGGCTATAATTAGTATTAACTGTAATAGGACTCTTTTCAGTTCTATAATACTGTCTCGTCCATAGGGAGATGAATGGGAAAATGGTGTGTTACAAAGTGAGCGGCGGTAGCGCAGACACGTCGCCAACTCACAACGAGTACGAGAACGTCGTCACCAACTTGACGCCTGAGGTCAACAAAAAGTGAGTACTATATTGAAACTACCGTAATAAGAGTTTGTTTATCGTACAAACTTTGATATGATACTCCCTAACAATAACTAGATTTTGAAAATATTGGATATGGTATCTTACAACTAAATAATAATTCGAAATGTCACGGGACAGGCTTCTATGGTTTTAATGATGTACAAAAATAAATACCATTTTTTTGTATGTTTGTAAATAAGACATCTATGGGCAAGCCATCACAAATTTTGAAAATAGTATTTGTTAGTCTTCGTAAACCTCTTTGCGATAATCCAGGATATAATCTGTGTGCCAAATGTCAATAAAATCCGTACAGTCATTTATCAACAGTAACAATTATATCAATGAAATCATAATGTTTCGTTGTAATAACATTAATACTTTAACAGGTTACGAGTACCAGAACGGCCTCCAAAACTATCACCCGTAAGCAACTTAGCACTGGAGAACTTAAACCTCAAGCAATCACCAACAGCGTACCCAAAAATCGAAGAGTTCACCTCCGACAATGATTACGAAGCCCTTAGCCCTTCCTACAATATCAAACCTTCCAGACCAGCGCCCCGAGTACCTTTGACAAAGTCCCCGATCCCCCACGGGAGTCCTGCACTAGGCGGTCCCACATCACCGGTAGCACCTTCGAGGAAGAAGGGCCCAGCTCCAATGCCAAGAAATACTATGTACCAGACTTTAGGAGGCTATAATGGAATGGAAGGAGTGCCATTTTTATTAAACTCCAAATTGAGGGGACTGCCTAGTGATAATATGGTAAGTCTTTATTTTGTAACATTTAACCCCCTCACTAAGCCACACACTAAATATACCAGCAATCCGCCCCGGCTTCGCATGTGTAATAGAACATATTTAAATGCTGTCATTTTTGTTGTGTGATATTTTTAATAATAATAATAATCATTGTAATGATATTCATATCGTAACATCTGCAGAGGCTCGCGTTAGGCAGTTGGATTAAGGCCCTTTTTTTTCCGTGCGGAAATCCCCTCGGATACCACCTATCGGTGGCATGTCGGACACAAACCGACTAAAACCGCACGCCGTCTCGGGTACTAATAGCCGGGGAACCAGGTATACCCTAGAAAGGAAGTCCCTGGTGCCCCGACATACCTCGGGCCATCTACAGACGAGTAGACGACGACCCCCCCCCCCCCCCCCCCCCCGCGAGCGCGCTTCGCAACGCGCTCGCCGCCACCCCGGCCTGCTTCTGCCTGGGTGACAGATGGCCTCACCTGTCACCCCCAGGCCTGTGGATTAAGGGCCTGATGTAGAAAGCAGTTCTTTATACGGCAACGTATAGTGAGGAGGTTTCTGTCTCTGGAGTCCTAACCAACGGTATCTTGGTCCCTGTACCCAATAACGATGGGACACTATTTTTTATATTTTTAAATGTATTTTGCTTTGTTTTCTACATAAATATATTTAAAAATGTACCAAAAAAATACACTCAATACACCTTCTTTACAAATAATATTTCGACAATGTTACAAATAAAATAGGCTACATGTAAGCAATAATAGGTTCCTGGCTCCCAAATTAAGTTTATCACCTGTGACTTGAGAGCCAGTCTTTCTCCATTATTACGTTGATCTATGCTCAAGGATTTACAGGAGTTCCACAAATGTGTAACTCCTGCAAATACGTCTTCTTTAAAACGCAAAAAGCGTTGCTATTTTAGCAATAGATCTAATATATTCGTAATGATAAACTATTGACATGGCGCTCGCTAATAGAGCTACAAATTGGGATAATTTATTTTCGACGTTTTTTACCAATCTCCGTTATAGTTCATCAAACATTAGAAGTGACGTCACAGCAATGGCAACTGAAGTTCTAATTTTAGCCATACGATAAGTTATCCTTATTGTATATTCCTAATAGTATTCTACAAACTCATTGGTGCGTTACACTTACAGGTCCAATTGCCTACGGTGAAGCGACGCACGCGCTTCGATCTCGACCGCGACTACAGTTACAACTTCGCCGTCGAACGACAAACGTGAGAACCGACTATATTGCCATACGAGTAAAGTATATTTTGCATCTCACAGTTTATAATGAATGGGAATATCTCACGAGATTCAGCAAGCTGGTGAAAGATTGGGTTGTGTGAAAGAGACACTAGGATAATGAATCTTTTTCTCTTTCTGTGAAGGACTAGTTTTTAATGTACCCAATGTTTTGAGATATGCCCTTCTATTATTAATGGCGAGACATATTTCCGGGTTAGATTATATTGTTAATAACGCCATGGTTCTTGAAGAGTGTTATGACTGTACCTTCAAATGTTACTATAGAATAATTTTATTATAGAACTATAGCGAACATATTGGTTCTAAAGCCATAAAATCTTTAGACTCGAGATATCTTTAATTATACGTTTTTAATTTTAATAATTATACTTATTGTATTAAAACATGCATGCAACCTCATAGACAAATGTTTATATCATTTGTTTTTTTAATCTAGACCAAGTCATGTTTATTAAAGGGGAATCTGGAGGGGGGGGGGGATCATCGGGGTCATGACCCCCCCCCTTCATGTTAAAAGTTTGATCCGCCCCTGATACTCATTTAGCACAATACATTTATTAAAACCAGATGTGTATGACCAAGAAAGGTTAGATTTAGTCGAAATATTGAGAAAACAAACTGCATTGCTTTGGAAACCGACTCTAATTAGCAATAATGCGAATGATGAAACCGATAATTATAATGTATTTTGATAAAAGGTATATGTATCATCTTTTGTAATCCTTTGGTACGTTTGGCTGAATTTCAAAAAGTATTAATTGCACACTGAAGATTGGCACAGAGCTTAAAATGATGTAAACAAAGTCGACTGGACGATTTAAATTTTTGACTTGGTCAAAAAAACATAAGTATCTCATGTAAGTCAGTATAATTTACCAAAATGCAACTTTAACTGAATCTGAGTAAGGCACATTTTTCCTTAACAGTGAAACGCGTTGTTTTGTTCTTGATAGTCATATATGTATATATTTGGTTTATTAAATAATTTTTAACAGTCATTCTGAACAGTGATGGTTATTTTTTTCTGAATTGTTATATTGAACCATTAGTTTTGTCAAATATATCCCGATAAAAAACTGCCATATTAGTTCCTGTGTGTAATAAAATTTCCCTCACACGCAATGTTCAAAGTAATATACCGATACTCTCAAACTGCCACACGGATGCAAACTTTATTGTGTATGTTTAAAACACAAGATTGTCCAAGTCTTCTAGAAATTCTCCATAAAAAAATTGATGTCAAAATAGTGTAACGGATGTGGAGGATTGTTCTTATCGCATTTTTAATTCCATTGTACTTTAAAGTGATAAGTACGCGGAACAAGCAATAATGATACTTATCTGTTGAACAACAATGTATAAATTAGCTTACAGCATCTTTATAAAAAAAATCTTTTTTTTTAAGAAAGTCGACGATTCTTAACCTTTTACATGAAAACTCTTTTAATTTTGTTATTAAATATATTTTCATGTTATTGAACTTTGCAATGAGGTAATTTTTAGGGTTTTTGTAAATGACTTCGTAAGTTTCCTTAAAATTACGAAAACTGATTACATTTTAATCTACCCACAAATTAATTATATTATTATTGTAATACGGTTGTGTTAAACTGACCAACATTGGCTCAAACATTGGATTAAACATTGTATATTAATGTCATTGTAGCAATTCATTTACATATCCTTTTTGTAATGTATATACATGTATATGGCTGCGAAACAAGAGAAATTGGAAAATATATAGCGTTGGTATCGACATATTACTATGAGCAATAGTTGAGAACCTTTTCTGTCTGTGAGACTGTTAAGAGTACTCCGTTACTCGTTTGGCTAAGCCTATGGATAGCACCCAGTGGATTACCAATACAATTTTAGGAGTACTTCATATTTTGGAACAATCTTAAAAAAAGGAGTTTAATACAATTTAAAAAACTTAAGAAAAAAAAACCTATTTGATAAACGGCTATACTGCTAACACGATAGACGTTTCAAATTATTGTCAGAGGTTCTGGTTTTCAATTTGTGTCAAATATTCGAATAAAAACAATTTGCCAGAACTTCAGAAACAAAAGTTAAAAAACAATGTATTCTACCACATCCATAGTCTGATGTTTCGTTCGCCATAGATATGATGGTGACCCTGGGGCCTTGATCGCGTGACGCGCCGTAGTTAGATAGACTGAGTCAGCACTAGCAGGGCATATATCTGAAAACTGTTATAAAATTACAGTTTTTCTATACGAACCATTGCACCGTTAGCTGATACAAGGACCTAACGGTGCTATGATTGGGACAAGAATACTGTTATTGTTGAAACTCGCTCAACGATATTATTTTAAAGTGGTCTTAAAAATTACCTTCTCAAAGCATGTTGTTGTGCATGTTTGAAAAAAGCTTTTCTGTTTTATTTAATTAAACGCATTATATTGTTTTGTGAATTTCAAGATACATATTAAAAACAATATGAACTGTAATGAATGCTTTTTTTTGTAACTAAGTCGGTAAAATTCTGAAACTGTTCCAGTTTTATGTTGGTGGTGGTAAATAAATCTCGGCCATTTTCGGTACACTCTTGTACATTGACAGGCTTTTCCCAAATTCTGCCAAGCCTGTCAATTTTATTTTAAACATAGATATATGCCGTGCTAGATGATTTGTGTGTGAATCCAAGTAGGAAGGTTCACTTGAAATGTATTTCTTGGTAATATGTATGCTAGTGGAGGATATGAATGATAGTTTATAAAAGAAATTAAAAAAAAAAAATGTTCTTAATGTTTCGCGCTTATTAAATTAATATTAATTATTTATATTGGCACCAATGAAAATTATTATCTGAAATGTTTGTAATATAAAATGTAATTGAAAAAAAAAACAAAAGCCTATTATTTCAACCAATATAAAATTATATTGGTTGAAACAATCGAAGGTTTTTTTTTTTCATTAGTTGTAATTATAATTTCAGTCCATTTATGTAGGTATTTAATTAAATCTATATTTAAATGTCTTATTCCTGTATTGTTTCTTTATTGCGGAAGGATTGTAACAAAATGATTTTTTATAATGTTGTACAAAATAAATTGTGCCAATACACCGTACAAGTCTGGTTACCGGGCGAGAGCCAGCCAACACGACTAGTCAAAATGAACGAATTATAGACACCATTCATTCGACTGACCTGATTTATTTACGAACTCATTTACTTATACTAATATTTTACAAAACTAGAATTTAAAGAATAGCGGGCCATAACAGAATCCTATGAGTGCCAATACAAGTCTGAAAGTCAAGTCTCGTAACAAAAAATCATTCAAAATTCATTTCCGATCTATTCGATCTCGTTGTGAGATCGAGTAGATCGGATGATCGAGTAGAGTAGAATGTCATTAAAAGAATTCCCGTAGTATTTTTACTGACTGAGATGTATTTAAGTTTCGGTCACAAAAGGATATAATCACATTAAACTCAACGATGTTTAATTAATACTACGAGAATATGTTTCAATCGAAACGTGTTTAGATCTGAATTGTGAACTAATTTTTATAACGGGAATTGACCTTCTGGTTAATTTAACTATTTTCAGTGACATGGTAGTTTTTTATCCATTCGATAATAACGAATGACGGCAAACAACATTTTTTTGCCATTTTAATGATATTAAGGTTTCTCAGGTGTAAAAGTTATTCATTCATTGTCTTGTATTACACCGGTAACGAGGGTTATTTTATGTGTTACTATTTGCCCGCCATGTAACATTACATAACACAATATCGTCAGTGAATTTCTAACAGTACGTAAGTCTATTTGACGGGCTAAATATTTTGTTCAGGATCAGGCGCTTCCTTTCGACCTATCAGAAAGGAGACAGCTAATAACTTGTAAAATAATCCATGAGTTCATTGACACTTTCAACAATGTTACAATAAGCATTTTCATTTGAAGAACTGCTGGAAAACTGTTGTGACTTTCATTTGTGACATACGCACTGTTAGCAGCACTTGTGTGTATAAGTATATCGAATTGTATACAACCAAGCTAACAATATTTATAGAAAGCGCCTCCCAACAAACAGCACTCAGGGATTACATTTATTAATGTTGTATGATGAAAGCTATTGAAGGAAATAGCTTTTAGATAATTTAATAAAACAACGTTATGTAACTGTTTCCGACTGTATTAATTATATAAATGTTCTGTAAGTTAAAAGTTTTTAAAGTCTGGAATGTGCGTACCCTTCAAAGAGGCCTCTGAAATAATCTAAATTACATACAATTAGAATCGAAACATTGCCGAACAAATATACACCGTGGTCATATTGACTTAAGAATCTCTCTTGTTAAATTCGTCCAAAGTGCACGCACATTTCTCACTCGATAATATAATGTCACTATTCGATCTTACCTCACGGGATAATAAACCTAGATAAATATACTTATACGGTCCACTTCAGCACCGAGTTGTTTGTCAATTTGTTGTACATATCTTGGTGTATTGTGTTCGCACGACTGTTATTTATTAATGCGTAACTAGCTTTACTTTGCTTTACAGTACTGACGATTTTATTTTCTCATTTAGCTCCTAACGAATTAGTATAATGCAACTTTAAAGAAATAGCTCCTGTTTCATAGTTGTACTTGTTATAAGACTAGTGAGTATAGGTTCGAGCCGATCGGCTGCGTACGTGTGACGTGTGCGTGCACGCATAAAGAACACGCTCATGCACGAACACATGACGCGTACGAAGGCGTTCTGCCCCGGCCGTATATATTGTTTTCGTCTCAAATCCTATTTGTGTTTTAGAATATTTATTAGTTATATGTACTGTAAATATTTCATATATAATGCAATTAGTGAATTAGTACGCTTTTTTACACATTAGAAATGTATTACAACTGATAAATTTGTTTAGAATGATTATGAAAGGAATAAAATTTAAATTATTGACTGATTCAATTGTTTTACTCTTATCCCTTTATTTTTCAAAACTATAAGTAATCAAAACGACGAATTAGTTGAAAATTAACACAAACATACATATATATTAAAATCAGCGGCTAGATGTATTTTTCTAATTGTGTTTTTAATAATCATGATATTTTATATGTATGTAGGTATATATTGTATGTAAAATAATTTACCACCAGCTGGAACCGATAGTCATAATAAAAATTTAGATTTGATAAAGATAGGTACATTTATTATCCGTGTGGTGACGGATTAAGAATACGGAGTGTCACCACCCCTATTCATCCCGTGGGTGTCGTAAGAGGCGACTGAGGGAGCGAAATACGCAGGACACCAGCACTGCAGAGAGAAGGAAAACTTGACACAAACCCTATACCAACCCGTCTGGCCAGCGTGGTATGGTAGGCAAAAACCTCCTTTCTAAGGAGAGACCTATGTCCAGCAGTGGACTGTTAAAGGCTGTTGATGATGAGGTACATTTATACATTATACTTCGTAAAACCCTAGGCCTTGTGTCTAAGTTATTGTGACATTACAAAATGGCACTATAGTTTAGAAGATATGTTTGCTTTGCATGGCATCATTTTCTTTCTAATAGCCTAAGAGATACTCCTTATAAGTAGGTGCCCGTGAAGGTTCCATCAAAATCGCTTAAGTACTTCAGAAATTATTTAGAAGAAACAGCCAAAACATTTTAAAGAAAAATGTTTACCTAATGTATAATATATCCTGTTAACAGTCATATGTGCATTTCGTGATCTGATATTTTGTCCCATTTGTCAATAAGAGAAATACACTTATAATAACAAAAAATATCTTTATTAAAAAATATCGTTTCACAAAGGTTACTTTAATTTATTTTCACTTAAAATCACAACAAAAACATGCTTATAATAAAGCTTTTGTAAATGTCAAACTACACGCGGGCGCTCCTAGAACCAACCAACAATATCAACATATTAGAAAGAGAAAGAGGGAGAGAACACTAGAGACAATTTTGACAAGTTTAAATAGATAGTCTAAAGAAATGATGATTAATATCCCATGTAATTCGACATTTACAAACAAAACCGTACATTCTATGTCCCACTCGCGGGCTTTTCGACTGTGACTGTACAAAAGATGAGTACACATTTAAGAACAATTTTACCACGTCCGACGACAGCCGGCAATGATACTGTACAACATTCCGTCCCAGCACTCCATATCTTTCGTCCAATAATTTATATAAAAAAAGGTCTACTTAATAAATAATATTTGGCAAAAACACTAATTTATAGTCCAAACATTTAGCTTTGCTTATATTTTAATAGTATGCACAAAATTATTCATAAAGATGAGCTATTATGTGGGGCAGAAGCGTTTTAGAACCGTTTTATTGACAAAAGTAAAAAATATAACAGTGACAAGTTAATGAACGAATACCCTGGTAAATTGATTGGACTTGGATTGGGTTAGTGCTGACGACGACGACGCAACAATTACTGCTGTCAATTTATTTTATTTTTATTTATTTTTACAATTGTTTACATCTATACAATTTTATACAACAGTATATTATTATATCATGAAGAAATTTCGATACATACACGACTACACATTGTGAGCACGACGTAAAACTCCTTATTACTGTCTTTAAGAAGTAATAGGAACATGTATGAAGGTGTGCACTGTCCTCCTGTTGAAATGTCAAAAAGTGGATCAAAAAATTTGGCACGCATTTATAGACTTTTGTAGTCTATGCGCTAGTCCTAAAAATGTTTGCAAAACGATTCAACGGACATTATCGGCGCCACATCGGTTGACAAGGTCCACAGTGAGTTCTGAGGATGACCAAGTGCAGGTGTCATTGTGGAGCCGGCGGTTGCTTCATCTGCTTCTGCTGTTCTAGGAGACGCTCTAGAGGAGAGGGCCCTGGCCCCGACCATAGAGACTGAAAACAATAGATAAAATTTTAATCCTGTGTATAATGTGTTTTTTTTAATATAAGAAACCTACATTTTAGCTCTAGTCTGACCAATATTATTCTTCCGAATTGAGTTACCATTTAAAAGAAAATGTTACGGGCCAGTTAGTGACCCTGTTTAAGCAGCCCTTTTAATGTCAGGGCGGTTATAAATCATGCATATTATAGTAGACAAAATCCGAGAATTTCAAAGATTTGTCGTAAAAACATGTTTTTGTGCGCTTACATTGCAAACGCTGGCTAAACCTTACCAGATAGACCAAAATAATGTACTACGGAATTATATATCTTAAAAAGATCAAAAAAAAGTCCGCGATGATATATGTCTATCTCCTAAGCATAACCCACAGTAACCATTTTTATCTTTTAAAAATTACAAAAAAATAATGTGTTATTTACGAAGCTATTTTAAACAATACATCATTATTATTTTTCGTTATCCTATTAAATACGTTAGCTATACATTTAAGGTAGATTAAAATTGCTCTTTACAGTATATCAATGAAATGAATACTTTGGAAGTTATTAGAGGTTTAAAATGCGGGGGTCGAACGGTACGGGTGGCAGCGCCGGCAGGATCGGAGCAGGGCTATAAATTTTGCATTGAAAAATGTCCTGTAGTATAGTGCTATCATAATAATAGTAGAATTAATTACTCTCCACTGACACCACATTAGTAGTATTAGAAGTATCTACATTGCACCCGTGCAAAGCCGGGACAGATCGCTAGTTAAAAATACAAAGTTAATGATCCCCATCATGGTGGGCAGTAGTGTAAGTACGTACGGGTGGCTGTCGCTGTACGGCGCCCCAGGCTGGTGCGTCGGGCGCGCCGCTGAACAGAGAGTACGTGCTGCTGGGGGGGGAGGCGCTCGGACCTTCGCCGCTCTGCTGCACACGTACAACGGCATGTTAGTATCGTATATTCATAGAATTTAGCGTGATCGAAGAGAGCCTTGAGAGAGATTCTGATGTTTCGCTTGTTCATGTGTTTTCTTGCGTGTGTGTTTAAGATTTCTCAAAAAAAACGACTAATCGTAACTACTTTAAACTATTTTCAAATTGGTCATATTTTGTTTGTCTACTGGAGATGGGAATTAGGTATGGGACCAATACAATTGAAACATTTTGTGGTAAAGAAAGAAATCGACTACCACGTTCCAAATTAAACACTGTCACCTATTTTGTCTGCAGAATTGAGGTGTCTAGTGTTTTAGAAAATTACCCGGCGGCACTCTCACACCAAAAAGAGGTCTAACACAAGCAAATAGTCATTATGGTGAGTTATTCAGTCATCTACTAGACACGCAATCTAAAGCACTCGATGATAACACCGCAAACAGTCAATATTTACATGTAAAATCATTATCTGTTATGTAAATATTGGAAAATGCTTCAAGACTGTTAAATACAAATAAATAATATAAGTGTAGTAGTATATTAATTATAATATTACGCGTTTTCTTTCTTTACTTCTTTAAAAATAGTGAGTTTACAAAACAATACTCACCCCAACCATCTGTTCTATATTTTTCGACGCCGACACATCACTGAGCGGTTCGTTAAAATTATTCATAGTCAAATTCCGTTGTTGCATTTCTAGAACATTCCCTCCAAACCCTAGTTGGTTCATATCCATGAGATCTTTGTTACCCTGGAAACCCATCTGAGGTTTATCAGGCATTTTCATCTGTAGAGGTTGGTAACTGAGTTTGTTGTTAAACTGCGGGTACATCGAAGAGTCGTAGCTAATCGAGGGAGCATAAGAGTTAAAACTGTTCAAGGACGAGCTAAAGTTGGGCGACGTGACTATGTTCTGCAGAGCTTGCAACTGTGGCTGGCCGATAGCGGTTTGCAGGTAACCCGGCTGAGAGAAACCTTCCTGCTTATTCGGAGCCTGAACTTGATTATAAGATATATTTGGGTAAGGAGTTGGCATGTTGGCGTTTAAATGTTGGGAGTAGAAGTTTGGTAAGGGCGTGGAGAAGTTGGCGCTGAAGTTGGGCGGTTGTTCCGGCTTCCACCACATCGGTTGCTGGTAACTTTCCGCTGTTGGTTGTTGAGGTTGTGTGTTCCAACTGCGAGGTTGCTGAGCGTTGAACGCTGCGTTTGATTTAAAACTATCGTCTCTAAACTTGTTATCATTGAATTGGTTATCTTGAGCAGTTTGCCAATATCTATATTGGTTGGCAAAGCGTGGAGGTAGATCGCTGAGGAAGTTCTTTTTGTCGCCAGACATTTGGTAATTGTGATTGAACTTCTGGCCATCTTGGAAAAGCTCTTGTCGTGAGTTCTGCTTTTGTAACGCTGCAGTTCTAACGTCAATCTCCTTTGGATTAACCACAGGTAATCTTATACCTTGGCTATTGACATTTGTTGGTACATAATTTGGATATGTCAAGCCAGGACTTTGGATGCCGTAGTTTTTCGGGAAATTCATTCTGGGTCCTTCAGGGAATGTTAAGTTTGGAGTCCAGTTTGGTGCTGGAGGTGGTTGTTCCTGACGTTTTGGTTGGAAGGGCTGGGAGTTCTGAGCAGATTGGCTTAATTTAAGATCTTTCTTCTCTTCTTTTTCTGGTTTCTTAGCTGGTTCCGGATCAGTGTTGACTAGATGTGGGTACCCGGCGGATTTATCCTTGAGAGAGAGAATCCCTCCAGTTTTCCTACCGAGAGGAATGTTTGCGAGGGATTTGATCGCTTTCGGTTGGATGATCTTCGGCTTATCCTCCTTGGTCTCTTGTGAGTCCACAGTCGAGTCTGGTGTTGGGGGTGGAGTTACAAATTTCACCTGTAGTGACGTAAAAATTCAATTAAGTATTTAATAAAACTTCAGTTTTTACTCATTAACATTAATGATGTAGTATTTCTAAAAACTTTTAGCAAAAACAAATGTAATAATTAATTTTACGCACGTACTCACTTCACCATTAAAATAAAGAATTACTATTATTATTTGGAAAGAAAAACCGCTTTTAAAGCGTCTTACCAAAAATATTCAGAAAATCAGTTGACAAAGAGAGGAGAAAAAGTTGCTCATCTATTTTGTATTTACCTATATTTATACAGAGATTTATTTTTTAAATGGGAGTGATCTCTCCCACAGCCCCACCACTGTAACTCCTGTACACCAGGATCAACAGCAGTGACCAACGAACACACCGAGTAATAACAATCGAGAAGTTCCAGGAAAACTGTCTTGGAACCCGCAATAAGATTAATCAGAAGACAATTGGAGGAGTTAGAAATATAATGGAATAAAAACAGTATGGAATATTTTTACCAATACCTGTTTGTTGGTCTCTTCCTGCTTCCTCATAATGGCCGCCATGGCAATGTTGACACGCGGCTTCCGTATCTCTTTCTTATCCTCTCCCTTGCCTTCTTCGACAATGTCGGGCTCTTGAATCAACTACACAAAGCAACAAAAATAAATCATCTTTATCCCTATCAACTTGAAATAGAAGTTTAAACTAAGCCAGGCTCTTTTGTGAGACCTCGTGGCGGCCATCGGAGTGGGAGTTCTCTCGCTCGATAGCCTGATTGCGGCTATCGTGCGGAGCGAGAGTGCGTGGAACTCTGCCGTCTCCTTCTGCGAGCAAGTTATGCTCGCGAAGGAGACGGCGGAGCGGGACCGGGAGAGGTTTAGGACTCTCCCGGCCCGCCAGGCCCGGGAACGGGCCAGGTACCGCAGGCGACTCAGGCGCCGGAGGTCGCAGAACGACCTCCGTCCTCCATAAGCGCAGGCCTGGGGGTGACAGGTGAGGCCATCTGTCACCCTAGCAGAAGCAGGCCGGGGTGGCGGCGAGTGCGTTGCGAAGCGCGCTCGCTTCCAGGGAGCACAGGGAACATGGGGTTCCCACAACGGGGTGGGGGGGGTTTTCTACTCGTCTGTAGATGACCCGAGGTATGTCGGGGCACCAAGGACTTCCTTTCTAGGGTATACCTGGTTCCCCGGCTATTAGTACCCGAGACGGCGTGCGGTTTTAGTCGGTTCGAGTCCGACATGCTACCGACAGGTGGAAAAAAAAAGGCTCTTTTGTGAGAATCGTTAATTATCTAAAATCTTTTTTTTTTCGTTATTTTATAATAATACTTCCTTATATCTGACACACAACGCCATCTAGTTTCAAACTAAGCAAAGCTTGTACTATGAAAGATAGATTGACTGATAGAATACTTACATACTTCTTTTGTAAATACATACATATAATATATAGAAAACACCCAAACTACGAAACAAATATTTGCAGATCATACAAACATTTGATCCAACCCGGGGATTGAACCCGAGACCTCCAGCACAGCAGTCGCATACGCTACCACTGCACAACCGAGGCAGTCAAAAATAGACTAGTATTTACAATATTTTTTGAGGTCTCTCAACGCCTTTAATATATAGGTCTCAGGGTATATGGTTTAAAAGTAAATGAAAGATGTACAAATATTGAAAGTAAAGGAATTGATCTTAAAAAAGTTCGAATTCATGTGTTTCCACAGAATAAACTGCTTTAATAAGAAACTTACTTGTAATTTTCGGTCAACTATCTTATTAAAAATATTACTCAAAATAAGTGGTAACTAAAAGGTACAATTCTGTATCAAATGTTAGTTAGTTCTGCCACAAAGCCTAAGTCACTTTATTCATTAAATACACTGACCTGATGTTCTTCTTGCGTGGCGAGGGCTCTCTCTTCCCGCGCTCGCTCCAGCGATCCCTGAGGCTTCAGAATACCCACGCGTTTCTCGCGAACTACAAACGATAAAATTCAAACATTATTTTAAAAGTCTAAAACCTGTTTTAAACCTCCTTTCTAATGAGAGGCCTATGTCCAGCAGTAGACTGTTAAAGGCTGTTGATGATGATGATGATGATGATTTTATAAGTCTGAAGGGCAATTCTCGTAATAAACAGTTCCGATCAAATTTCGATCACAGAACTGCCATAAAAAGTATTTTCGTAGTAAAGTATTAAACATCAAACGTTGTCTGTAATGCGATTATATCGTATTGTAACCGAAAATTGAATCTGTGTTCTGATACTCTTAGTAATCTATACTAATATTATAAAGCTGAAGAGTTTGTTTGTTTGTTTGTTTGAACGCGCTAATCTCTGGTCCGATTTGAAAAATTCTTTCAGTGTTAGATAGCCCATTTATCGAGGAAGGCTATAGGCTATATATCATCACGCTAAGACCAATAGGAACGGAGCACCAATGAAGAATGTTTCAAAAACGGAGAAAATTTATTACTATTGAGAGACGCAGACGAAGTTGCGCGGGTCAGCTAGTACTTTAATATTTTAGTACGAAATAACCTTAAATGACAGTTGTGAGATCGAAAGTTGATCGGAGTAGAATTGTGACCGAACTTTTATTATGAGAATTGGCCTTCTGGCCACTAGATATCGTTCTGTTTCATGATATCATTTATGATGACATTTTCATGACATTTATCATCTATACTTATATTAGAAATGTGAAAGTGAGTTTGTTTGTTACGCGTTCAAGCCTCTTTTTTTTTCCGTGCGGAGATCCCCTCGGATACCACCTATTGGTGGCATGTCGGACTCGAACCGACTAAAACCGCAAGCCGTCTCGGGTACTAATAGCCGGGGAACCAGGTATACCCTAGAAAGGAAGTCCCTGGTGACGCGTTCACGACTAAACCATTAAAGCGATTTTAAAAATTCTTACGCCAATGGAAAGCTACATTATAAGTGAGTAACATGTGCTACTTTTCAACGCGATAACTGACATAGATGCGGTTGAAGCCACTGACAAAAGCTAGTATCATATAAATGTTTTTGCCTTTACTATAGTTCAGTTAAGGCGGATACAGACATTGCGAGGCATGTTCCACATTTGAGTAAAAATGCATGCTCAGGTCGAATGACGCATACTGGGGCCGATCCAATGGCGTGCGAAGCGCTTGCCTCGCAATGTGCTTTCGGCAAGGCATATGCTTCACTTCAATAATTATAAAAGGAGCAGCCGCTACGTGTAGGCTGTTGCAGTGGTGCCATTATGATTGTAGTATGTGGGCTGGATCAATCCTAGCATGCGCCAAATATATACATAGAATAGGTTCTTTTTCTCAATCGATTGATGCGTTGTGCGTCGTACTCGGCACACGCTCCGCCTAGTGAGTGTCTGACGACGTCCACACGCACGCTTTGATCGTGGAGCGTTTGCTGACATACAAACATACAAACAAATACACAAGCGTAGCAAATACCTCGCGACGAATATGAACGTCCATACATTGCGAATCATGCGATGAGCACCGCTCATTGGACATGCTTCGCAATATCTGTATTCGCCTTTATAAATAGATATCGATATTTGCGAATCCTTACCCCGATTTAAAAGACACTTGCAAAGAGTTCTCTAAGGTTCTCATTTATTATTGTTTTTTTTTTAAATTTTAAAATTTGTCTGTTTATTTGTATTCAGAAAGAAAGAAAATTAAATATATTGTCATATTTAATGTTATTTAGGAGGTTTTCTCACTATGTTTCTTTTGAATTAGTTTTGTATTAGGTATAAGTTTGGATATTCTATTGCGAGCTGTGGTCTCCTATAACTGAAGGAGTACACTATTCAAAACACTAAGTGTGTACTATATGTACTTTTGTGTATATCCTTTGTTGGAGATCCAATAAATAAATAAATAATAAATAACGAGTTGGTATAACACGTAAATGCAACCACACTTGAGTAACGTGTAGAATGTATATAAAGTACCTTTCTCCCGGAAGTCAGCCTCGGAGATGACGACGGGCGGGGGCGGGGGCGAGGGCTCGTCGTCCGACTCGTCCTCGGGGTCGGGCGCTGCGGGCGCGGGCTCGGCGCCCGCAGCCGCCCGCAGCTGCGCCAGCGCCTGCGACAGCTGCTCGCCGCCCACTGACGTCGCACTGAACCTGAGGCGGCCCTCTTCCTCGCTGCACCACATCATAACAAATAGATACGAATCACTATCAAAAACTATGTTTTTGTAGAATTCAATCGAAAATTCGCTCACTTATTAAGGACCGATAATAAGCATTAATTTAACAACTTTTTCAATACAATAATATAATAACTGGTTTAGAAAAAAAACATTTTATTGTAAAAAAAACCCCAAGACGAACCCTCCTCAGGATTATGGTTGACGCCCTCCCTCAGGATCATAATAATTATTAAGTTAGGCTAGTGTGTACTTTAGTTTAAACAATAATGGTATTTATTTATTTCACATCAATCACATCAACAGCCTATAATAGTCCACTGCTGGACATAATCCTCTCCTTAGAAAGGAGATTTCGGCCTACTATACCACGCTGGGGAGACGGATTGGTATAGGGTTTATGTCAAGTGTTCCTTCTCTCTCTCTCTTTATCTATCTAGAGCCCTTGTTTTTGCGAATTATTAAAACTTTTGTTATTACACTGTGATACATTCGTGAATAAAGTGATAGACAACAGGACACTAGGTTTTATGGGTCACATCACACACGTCAACAGCCTTTAATAGTCCACTGCTGGACATAGGCCTCTCCTTAGAAAGAAGGTTTTGGCCTACTATACCACGCTGGCCAGGCGATTTGGTATAGGGTTTGTGTCAAGTTTTCCGTCTTTTTGCAGTGCTGGTGTCCTGCGTTGTTTTGCGCCCTTAGTCGGTTCTTACGACACCCACGGGATGAATTGGGGCAGTGACATTCCGTATTCTTAATCCGTCACTACACGGACAATTTTATGGGTAACCTCGGTGAATAGCAACGAAAAGATTGCCCAAACATGGCCCTCCCGCGTTAAAAAAAACACAGTGACCATTTATACTACCTTGCGAACAGACTAACAAGTGACCGATGATATTTCTAAAACGTGTTAATGCTCACGTGTAGGTAAGATGATCAGGCATGATCTGTGACAGCCGCACGCCCAGCTGCAGTATGCGATGAGCACGAACTCTCTGCTCCAACTCTGGATCACCGCTCAGACACGTCACTGACACTTCCGCTGGTTGGCTGCAAGAATATAGTCATAATGAGTTCAAGTTTCAATAATGATTATTGATCGGACGAGTACAATAATAATTGATTGTAATTACAGTAATATTATAAAGCCGAAAGTTTATGTGTGTGTGTTTGTTACTTCTTCACGCTAAAATGACTGGACCAATTTTGATAAAATTGGTTTGGGGTAGCTGACACCATGGATTAACTAGAAAAAATGTAGTGTTCACTCGGGATTATGTATCTAGTTAGTAGCTAGTTATCAATAAAAATCAAATATTTACGGCTACAGTTGCTCACTAGAGGTTGCGTGAAATTGTCGTAGTAATATAAAAGGAGTTGTCCAAAAATTTTCTTTTTATTCTTGAAAAATTTTAGTTGCGATAAACCAAATATTTTTGGACAGACTTTCTTAGAATTAAATATTACAGCTTTTTAGCTGAAATTTTGAGAAAACATCGTTTTTATTTAGGCATATTTTTAGGCTGAATACGAGCAAAACTTTTGCTACCGATGTCACAGCAGATTTATGGAATCCCTTCGAAAATTGAATGCACCTTAACATGTACTTGTTTTACCTACATACATACATTAATTTAATCATTTCTTTGTATTATGTTTGTTTTTTTATTGTAACCTCCATTTACTCAGAAGCTGTATAAATCCTGGAAGCTGTGTACGGTATTAATTGGGGTGTAGATTTAAAAATAAGTAAGTTTAAGTACTACTTGGTACGTATTCAGTCGTCGTGTGGTCGTCTAAATCGTACTTAATACGTTCCGTTGTTCTCAGTAATACACAACAGACGTATTACATTGAAGTTTCTGTATAGAATTATTACAACATATATTTACAGGGCATTTCATTGTATGTCAGCCTCTGGTTTTACAACGCTAATACTCACTCAGTATTTTCATCACCGTCATCTAAATCAGGCACTCGCCCTCCGTACGTGTCCCATGCTGCGTGGTTGGGGAACCGTAGACCTTTGAGCGCGTTCTCTAAAGGCAAGAACCCTGCTAGTTCCTCGTCTTCAGGGAGAGGGACACTGTCATCTAATGAAAAAGTTATTATAAGTTAGTTAATACACATTAGGGTAGATAAGCCCTCTATAAAAGATATGCTAAGCAACATCATCAGTGCAGTATTATAGAAATGTCCGGACGGTGACGGATTAAGAATACGGAGTATCATCCCTACTCGTGGGTGTCGTAAGATCTGACTTCGCAGGACAACAGCACTGCAAAATTCATCCCGTGGGTGTCGTAAGAGCCGACTAAGGGAGCAAACTACGCAGGATAAAAGCACTGCAAAGAGAAGGCAAACTTATATATATATATATATATATACGGGTTGGTATGGACCAATCCGCCTGGACAGCCATACAGGTATAGTAGGCCAAAACCTCCTTTCTGAGGAGAAGCCTATGTCCTATATGTATTAAATATTTGTGTGATGATCGTTTGTTCTGTGTTTGGGTGTAATTTATCTATAATATGTATGTATTTACAAATAAATAAGTATGTTTATCAGCAGTCTGGTTACCATAGTACAGGTTCTGGGTAGTTAAAGATCAGACAGCCGTGTTTGAGATGTGTGAGGTATAGTATCGTAGGGGTTGTTAAGGCAGTACGTACAGTTGTCGGTGAGCGGGGCGGCGCTGAGCGCGAGCAGGTTGAGCGCGTGCGCCACGGCCGGCCACAGCGCCGCCAGCGACACCCACGCGCCCTCCTGCATGATGCGGGGGTGCCACGACGCCCAGCTCAACCACACTTTTACTGTCAACCATGACAACAAAATTAACCATGTCCTTCAATTATCCTATTAAAAATATATTTTAAAAAAGTTATTAAAAATATATACACAAAATAAATAAAAAACAAGATATTAACAAAAGATAAAAAAAGTGTGTGTGTGTCAGCTCCTACGCACGACTGCAGTTTAGTCCTTAAAAACGATTCAACACAAGTTATACTAGTTATACACACACATATGAAAGATGCGCACGATAGGTTGAGCACAAAAATAGTAACGAGGTCATTCGATCACTAAATTTTACTCTTCATATTTTTTACATACCGGGTGCCTTATATGGAAGTCGATTCTTAAGGAGTGAACTCCAAAACAGATCCTAAATGACTCAAACTTTTGCTTAAACTCTTCAAACCATCCATATGGTCAATCTTCTTTTTAATATGTTTCCTTCTTACTCTACTGCTCCAAAAGGAGAGTTGTGTTTTTCGAATGTATGTATGTATATTTATTTGACACACTCTGTAGCTTAAACGCTTTGATGCATTTTGGCGTTTGAAGTGTCATTGATCTTAATTTTGAAAGTGACACTTTGTTTATATAAAACGAATAAAACTAAAAGTACATACATATTTTCCAGATGTTTTGTTTTTTTTCACAATCGTTAGCTTGTCCCTTTATTTTAGGGTCACTTTCAGACTGAATGACAAAGATTTAGTTTTAAACTTCAAGTTCCATAATGTGTCATATGTCAGACAATCTGTTACCATACTCAGTGCAATTTGGTCGAAACGACGGACAATTCGAAAGTGTATAATATCTATTAATTGATCGTATCAATCTCATACATTTACATTTTAAAGATTCCTAAAGCATAAACCTATTATTCTATGAATACATGTATAACCCAGCTAAGTGGTCAGTGAACAGGCATCCCCGTTGGGTACTTACATGCGGGTAGCGTCCTCTGCACGACCACGTCCACGGTGTAGTTGGGCAGCAGCAGCGCCAGCAAGGTGCCGGTGGCGAGGCTGCAGCTGAGCTGGGCAGCACGAGCCTCACCAGCGCTTAACGCACAGCTCTCCACGCTCAGCTCTTCCGTCGTGGAATGTATGAGCCAGATCATTACACACGCCATCTAGTGGGTTACAAATATTAATTGCTTTATAAGGGTTTCTAATATATTGATATGAACTGTATTATCTTTAGAATTACAATGTGTTTTAGCTTCTTAGAGAACGAATAATTTTATAAAACAAATACTGCTTTGCAAAAAATTAACTTGATGGTAATCTCTTTACTCAGATTAAACCTCGTCTTTTCTGCGTCTCTATTCTTCTTTTTATATTGCATACAATTATTGTTGTATTTTAATGTATTTACGTATACATATTATTATGAATTAAATAAAAAAACGTTTGAAAAAATGTTCTTAAACATTTCTAAAAAAAAAAAGCAATGCTGTGTGTCGTCAACCAAGTAACGTAAAGTAACTTCAGTGCCATCTAGCGAAGACAAGTCAAACTACGTGGCACACTTCTCACCCTACATCACGCAATGTAAATTTTTCAGATCATGTTCTAGTCTACTGCTGGACATAGCATAAGCCTCTCCTTAGAAAAGAGGTTTTGGCCTACTTTGCCACGCTGGCCAGACAGGTTGATATAGGGTTTGTTTCAAGTTTTACTTCTCTTTAGAGTGTGCTGTGGTCTGCATAGTTTACTCCCTTAGTCGGCTCTTACGACACCCACGGGATGAATAAGGGTGGTGACACTCCGTATTCTTAATCTGTCACCACACGGATCAGGGGGTATAGTGCGTGCGATTGGTGAAGAGTTCAGTGCGGGCGAATCGCAACGCAACGCTGAACATAACAGCGAGTTCATGTGATATAACTTCGCACTAGGCCCCAAACAACCTAGTCAGACGATTCGCCTAATGTTGGAGGGAAATAACATCCGTTTTGAGATACTTGCTCTTTCTAAGTAAATACCTTGATTAATGTCATAGATTCGAAATTATCAGTAGCAATGAGTGTCGTCAGCGACGAATTTAACGAGTTCACTAAAGCAGCTGCCGTATCTAATCTGTAACAAGTGATTCTCAAATTAATACACATTATAATATTGGGGTATTGTTGATGGGTCAAAATTGTTTATAAATAATCACTACTAACAACTAAGTTAAATGAATGTTTGTTCACGTTCAGTAGGTCTACATGGTCCATGGTACACTGAATGGTATGGGAACCCGCAGTTTCTCGATCCCAAGTCCGAAGCTTTCGCCATTAAGGTACAGCCATTCGCGTTAAGAAAATAGTGACGAAGAAGGTAAGATTTCTTGATAAAAAGTACTCTATGTGCTATTACAGATTATAATGTAGTCTTGTGATAAATGTCATCCAGATCCGTTTTGCTGTTCTCATGTGACTGAGTAACAAACAATTTTTAGTGTTTTAAAATTAAATTCTTTCAAACACTTTGTATATTTGAAGATTTATATTTGAAAATAGTCCTTCTTAACTCCAGAAACCTTACTGACTCGATGAAAAAATAACGAAAAAAATTATTAACACCGATTTTCTGTGTAGCCTGGTCTCCGATCGAGCCGGTCCTTTATTAAAAATTAAGATATTGATAAAGCTATAAAAACAAACAAAATACATGAAAGAATCGCTTCAGGATATAAGTAGAGAAGGGCAAAAGTATCTGTTACTCACTCTTCCACAGTGTGTATGTAATGTATGGCACGTATCAGCTCGGTGACGTAGCCGTGCGCGTCGAGCCTCGCGGGCGCAGCGGCCGGCGTGGGCGTGCACCCGTCCGTTATACCCGGGATCACTGGCACGGGGTTTACCTCTGTGCTGGGAGCATAATACAATGTACGGTTCATTTATTATGTACTATGAATAATGGTTAACATTAAAATTGTAAGTTTGGAGGAGTTCCATTTGAGATGAAAAAAAAACGAGTGTGCTTTAGACCACATGACTGAAGTAAAACTTCTTGGCTATGAGAGAAAGAAAATGTGTACTCGCACCTCTCTCTTGCCCCTACAGTAATATACGAAACGTAACTCTCCCTCTCAACTTCCGTTCGCCTCGCTGATCACACTTTTCGTAACGCTCTCGTCAAGCATTCACCAGCTAATCCCCTAAGTCAAGCGTGCGTAAAGAAGTTTTACTTCAAAAAGTTATAGTGGAGGTAAAAAAAGCTGTCCTGATCATATAACGTTTGCAGATTACATCAGGGTCGGTTTCGATTATAATTCATTAAAAAAAATGATTTTATTATTTGTGTTAATCTGAGTGTTTATATGAGAATAATATACGGAGTTACAATTTCATATGTTCACACGGGATTCTTAAAATGTAAAACTGCGATCTCGTGACTGCATAATCTCGAAATGTGATGCTGTTCTGGGACACTAAAAAAAGCTAAAGGGCCAACAACAATGAGTGCTGGCCGTTAGGGTCATGAGGGGGTATCGCACGGTCTCTTTACAGAGTTGTGTGAGAGAGTACCTGGCGGCGGCGGCGGCGGCACGCAGCGTGCGCGCGAGGTTGGCGGGCGCGGGCGGGAAGGGCGCGCGCACGAGCAGCGAGCGCACGTGCCAGTACAGCGCGCCCAGGCGCCGCCCGCGCCGCCACGCCACCAGCGCCAGCTGGTTGTACGGCTGCCCCGAGTGCGCCGACACCACGAGCGCGTGCCTGCACACGTCGCATATCAACATTACACAGTAATAGGCAAATATGGATAAAATATATCACATTTAAACTGTAACAACCGGTGGGGCTTTAAAAACAACAGACATTAATTTGCTAAATGAATAATAATTAAATGTATTCAAATAAATTTGTGTAGTTACAATATATTGGTTGGGCTACATTCAAATAGTTATTAATAGTAATAGAATTAACATGTTATTTCACTTTACTAAAACGTTATAAACTATAATTTAGAAAATCAAAAGAAATTTATTCACTGCCCCTTTTTCTTTATAGCTTTACTTTTCAGTAGCTACTAGTAAACCCCTTTTTTTCTGCGAGGAAATTCCCGCGAATACCGGCCAGCCGGTGGGTTAGCTATGTCGGACTCGAACCAACTAAAAACCAACCGCCGTCTCGGGTACCAATAGCCGGGAAACCAGACGTACCTCAAAAAATAAATCAAGAGTACCCTGGGCCATTTACAACTTGTAATGCCCCCTCGTTTGATGGAACTAGAATGTTCCTTTTCTACTCTATAAACGAAGAAATCGATTATTAGGATTACAACGTCACTATACCTGTAAAAAGTATGTGCGACTCTGAGCTGTTGCCGGTACCGCGCCAGGTCTCCGAGGTGCACGAGACAGTGTTGGCAGATGTACCGCGCGGACGCAGGGGGAGGAAGCCGCGCTCCGACTGCAGACTCGCCCGCTCCCCAGCCTTCTACAAGACCCAAGAGGGAGGCCCGACGTCTGTAATATAAGCAGAAATATACTCGTATAACTGCAAAGCCATGCGTACAACTACATTTTATCCAACAAACTTATGCCCTGACAGTCCTTGGTGACCGTAAGCCCTGCTGGTTTCAATTCCCTGGCTTTTGTGGTTGAACACGTTCCAAATATACACACATGATAAACAAATTTAGGCTTAAATAGATCTGAAAAGATTTTCTTAAGAAGATTATTAAGCCTAAGGATATGCAGGTGTAGAACACTTCTCTACGTCACTCCGAGTTAGACAGGCGAGAATATTTATTTAATTTCCCATAAGTCTTTCGATTAAGGACAATGACTAGTGTTGATAGTATAAAATATAAAATATTATCATTGTTTCTTATAATGTTTCTATTTTGTAGGAAATCCTGAGTCTCTGTCCCATGTTAAATGGACATTTCCAATAAAAAAATTGTGTTACCTAAATGGTAGATCCAGTTTAAATGTAGTACAGATCTGATGTAACAGACAAAGGTAGAAGCCGGCCGCCGCTTGCAAGACCCATGATAACATGGCCTGACCTTCGCTGCGCAGGGGGTTCTGAAACAATGAAACGAATTATTTCTACTATACATATTATATCCTGATGATAAGTGCCTACTGCCGTCAATCATCATCATCATCCTCTAATAGTCCACTGCTGGACATAGGTTCAAGTTTTCCTTCTCTTGGCAGTCCTTTTGTCCTGCGTAGTTTACTTCCTTACGACACCCGCGGGTTGAATGGTGACACTCCGTATTCTTAATCTGTCACCACACGGATCAGGGGGTCTAATGCGAGCGACTGGTGAAGAGTTCAGTGCGGGCGAAACGCAAAGCCGTACGCGTTCGCCTACGACAGCGAGTTGATGTGATATAACTTCGCACTAGGCCCCCAAATAACCTAGTCAGACGATTCGCCAGGTCGGAAACCGGATCCAGGCGTCACCGGGCGCAACCGGGATTAACGCTCGAATAATGATGATGACACTACGTATTCTTTTTACAGGTTTGTTGGTTGACTTTTCAACAACAGAATTCTACTTTTCTTTTAAATTTAAACCATTTTTAGTGAGCAAACATTTAACACAGCAAAACTGCTACAGTACAGGGATAAACAAACTGCTATCAAAATGGCAAAATTGTTTAGATAATTTGGGCCAGTACTTTGATTAGCTAAAATAAAAAAAAACCAAAAAAAAATATTTTAACATTTTCATACAATTCTAAAACTTCGTAGATAAATACCTAATATTAATATGCATTGGTGGAGTAATAACATGCTTATCTTGTTTGCATTCTTGATTACTGGAGATACAACATTCACACATTTGTAATTTTAGAAATGTGGCATTTGCTACATCGGTGGTAGATAGGTACACAAAAACTGCTATTACACAAAAATTAGCCCAGTCCAGGAGAGCCAGTGCAGTTCTATGTCATAATAAATTCTTTATTTTTAATGTTCAAACAGATTAATATTATTATAAAAAATACTTTGAATGTCCTAATTGTTTTAGATGCTAAGTACTTCTTAGGGTTATAAGACACTCGAGAACTGGAGGACTGGAAATCCCAACTTCATCAGGTCCTCGTGGAAGAACGAGTTGGACACGTCGTTTTTGCGGCGGTAAGACCCGTTATGGAGAATTGTCTCGAGAGGCATCACAGGATATGTATTCAGAGACAGCATAGTTAGAAGCAAAACACAGTTAAAACAATGGTTGTATGAGACTGAATCAATTTTCTCAATCTTGGTCTTTCTCATTTCCCAACAAAACATAGTTTAGTTAATATTTTAATTTATTTTATTTCTTTTTTATGAAACCTCATAAAAATACATAATGCACAAGTATTGTATGAAATAAATTAATTGACATTAACGTTATAGAAAGCCACAGAAATAAAATGTTATTATTTTTGTCTACTTCCGTGATTGCAATCATACCACTGTATGCAACCACATTTATGTAATCACTATGTACTCTTTCAAGAGGCACGCCCCTAAGAAAGGCGCGAATATATAATTACAATTTAAAAAAAATGAAAGAACTCACTTCATTAAATAACACTATAAAAAGGCCTAATTAGATAAAATTGAAATTGCTAATTAGATAAGTCAACATTTTTACCGCGTGAAACTTATAAAATAATTCTTTGTTTTCGAGAAAAAATCCTTAACATTGATTGAGATCATCGAAATCGACCTCTGCTTTTTTGACTATCTCTGCTATTTCGTTGTGCTATAATCTAAGCTGTGTCATAATCATTTTTTAGCGGGAAAAGATTCCCGTTGTCTATACATTTTAGTACGTAGAAATTGTGCAATAAATTAGAGTATACGCGAGCAAAAACTTCAGTGCCACCCGAATATTCAAGGCAACAGCACGTCCGTTCGTCGTTCCAAATCAACTGTTTGAACAAGCATAAAGGTGGGTTGCAAGTGTCGGACTCACTACTGCTAAAAATATATTCTTCGGGCAAAATTTAGACGAACTAGGCATGTAAGTTTTTTTCGTATTTTTGTACGAATTAATATCAAGCACGTTAGTACTTACATTAGAATATTAGTGCTAATTAAAATCGTAACTTATTTTTAAACCTATTTCAGGCAGATAGGGAAAAACGCAAAGACAATAATTATAAACTCAAAAAAAGGCAGATTTAAAACAAAGCAGTAAGTATCCCTAATGTGCTCACTTTTTTACCCGACTGTGCAAAGCCTAAAAGGATGTCTACCGATGAAAGAGCTTCGACGTAGTTATACAAACACCTTCAAAATGACTTTTTTTTAAATGAATGTGTAAAATGCATTGTACAAAGATATTCCTTTGACGAGCCTGTTGGTCTAGTGGTTAGTGAACCTGACTGCTAAGCCGGAGGTTGTGGGTTTGCTTCCCACCCAGGATAAATATTGTGTGATGAGAACAAGAATTTGTTCTGTGTCAGGGTGTAATTTATCTATAATATGAATATATTTAAAAATATGTAAGTACTTTTATCAGCAGATTGGTTACCATAGTGCAGGCTCTGCCTAGTTTGGGACCAGACTGCTGTGTGTGAGATGTGTGAAGTTTATTTTTATTTTCATATTAATATTTTTCATTCATTATTTTTTTATTATTATTTTATTATTATATTATAAATAAATAATGTAATAATGATTGTTTCAGGAGACAAAAAGTTTCAAGAGCCTATTTACTCGATGGAGGCTATTAGAAAAAGCGAAGCTATCCATGAAGCAAAAAATGAATAATCGATATGCAAAACAACTAAACTAAACTTTATGCAAAAACTAAACCAAAAAATGCAGATAAATTAACAAAAAAATTTGGTAATTTTAAAAGATTGGCAGTTAGTTTGTTTGCCTTTTCTTTTCATAAGGCTCTACCCCTAGGAAATGGGTTTGCTATAGGTATGCATTTATTTTGAAAAAATATTTGACAAAACAGATTGCTGTTATTTAGTGTTTATCTATGACTTTAGAGTCTACATAAGAGACTATTTCAACTAAATTTAAAAAACTTTCATGAATAAAGATACTTTGACTAAATTGCTGTGTTTATTTTAATCTGTATTTACATTTTTTTTTAATAAATAAAAAAATATCATCTATAAAACCCACATTTCCAATATCACACAAAATATTTTTGATAATAATTTAGATTTCTCCATAAAAAGTGATAGTTTTTACAAGATGTGACCACATCTTTTGTCTCCGCACTCAACAAAATCAACAAAAATGAAGAGTTGAACCTTATACGAAAAACCGAAAGTAGATTGATTAGTTTCCAGGGTAGTATATTAATAGTGCACAATGAGTCTGTGTGCATGTAAAATATTAATGTGGATGTTCAATTTCGAGATTTCATGCTTGGGGACTAAGTGTTAAGTGACAAATGCACTGTAAACTAACACCAACACAATTTTTATGCTGGATATATTGGAAATGAGTTTTGAATGTACCAGTTCTTAAAAACTAAATGATCAAACACATTATGCAAACATTTGGAAAATACTTACTTTCCTATCTTTAGAAATGGCCTGCAACGCTTCAATCTGCTGCTTAAAGCCCAAATTCCACAAATCTTGCTCAACTTTCTTATCCAATGCATAGTCGAGATCCAAAATGAGTACTTTTTGATATACCTGCAAGCAAAATTGTGCATGTGAATTATTAATAAAAAAACAATAAAAATATTTGTTTATGAATTTTTTTACACATAGAATTGAGAAATTCTAATTCAATAATTTCAAAATGCAGTCTACCATAAACAAAACAAGAATTTTACTAGACAAAAAGCTAATTCTATCCAACTCAACTCAAACTCATCTATCATTCATTTATTTATAAAAGAGTTAAAATAAACGTAAATTTTTGGTTGAAATAGAGTTGTCTAATCAGGGTAACAAGTTCAATATTAGAGGGACTACAATTAGTTTAATTTAATAAGTTTATTAGAAATTAGAGTATTTTAATAAAGGTAAGCTGAAGTGTTGAATATAAATTCCACTGCTACAATAAGGCTAGTTTTTGAACTTGTGTAAAATGACTGTACATGGTTCTTTAATGGCTTTTGAAACTTTGATTCATACTTTGTGATTTGCAAAACAGTCATAAGATGGCAGGATCATCAATAAACAATGGCCATTCTGTGAGAGTCATAATTGTAATTACTGATAAAGGTTTATGGCAGTGTTAATGTATTTAAGTCTAATATAGAACACATAGAAAATTGCTACATTATTACGATGTTAGTGTGTAACTAGTGCCAAAGATAAATAAAGTTTTTTTTTACTATTCATTTATGTCATATTTTTTTAAGTCTAATTAAAAAACCTTTTGCAACTGCTGTTGTGTAGCCCATAGACTTCGTTCTTGAAGCATAGAAGTTCCACTTTTGAATTTAGAAATCTTCTGTTTCAGCTCATCCGCCTCTCTACATGAAAAAAATAATGAAATCACGAATAAATGTGGACTTTTGTGGGAGAGAGACCAAATTGTTCAGATCGTAATAAAGTGAAATGCGTCTTTAATATTACTCTTCAGGTTTATAACACAAGGCAACAAAAGGAAGGAAAACATAAGCCTGTTACCTAAACCTACTAATTCTATGTAGGTAATATGTTTTTTAAGATAATACAAAATTACGAAATAGGTAACATTGGTTTTATCATCTCGTACCTCAACATTTTCATCGCGGCGATTAAAACCATTATGATAGAGGCTTAGAGCCTCAGCAATTGTCATAGCATTAGGAAATAATCCAAATTAAAATTACGGAATAATGAAATGAAAAACTAAAAACAATCGAGATCCATGCACTGTCAAACTGTCAAAGTGACATTTACAAAAAATTGCCAATTTTGAATGCCGTCGAGCGTTCCGATACTAACAGAATTAACACTTTTTAATAATGTTTATAAATTTGATGAGATGTGTACTTATTTAACAACCTGACATTTATTTCAATTCCTACACTAGAATTGCTGATGAGTTACAATTTCAATTTACAAAAAATATTACAATAATACTGTTCTCATCTCTATGCAGAGGCACCTCAGTACCAGGTTCTCCCTCTGGACCGTATCCAAAGAAGAGCGACTCGAATCGTCGATAGACAAATGATCTCCGACCGACTTGATCCCTTGGCGTTACGTAGAGACGAAGCTTCAATCTGCGTTCCTTATCGTATGTATTATGCATCATCTGTGCTCCGAGGAATTGTTCGGACTAATATCGGCTGCAACTTTCTGCAGTCGTTCCTCACGGCAAAATTTTCATCCTCACTATTTGAACACACAAGACACTTTTTTCCTCCCATTACCAACCTGTGGAACAAGTTATCGGCTGAGGTATTTCCGGACTGATACGACCTTCAAACCTTCAAAAAAAGAGCGTACTCCTACCTCAAAGGCTGGCAACGCGCTTGTGACTCCTGAGTTGCAGGTGTTCATGGATCGCGGTAACTATAGTTTGATAATTATTCAAACATAAAGCCGGTTATTTACAGACTTACACACTATTTACAGACTTTACATGTTATTTCTTGAGATTTGCCGGTTTTCTTAGCCCCGAAGTGAAGTCTTAAACAAAATTTTTTTTCTGTTTTTAGTATTTGTTGTTATAGTGGCAACAGAAATACATCATCTGTGAAAATGTCAACTGTATTTACTATCACGGTTAATGAGATACAGCCTGGTAACAGACGGACAGACAGATAGACAGAAAGACAGACGAAAAATTATTGAATTTAACACTGTGATACACATATCGACAGCTGATTTAAATATTTGCAATGTTATCTTATTATTTTTGAAAAACCGATATTTAGAAACCGTAATCTTTAATTATAATTGCTTCTGGAATCTGGAACAAGGGAACATTGCATTAATTGTTGAAGTTATCATTAATTTTAATCATAGAGTACAGGAATTAGAGATGTGACAGGTTTGAACTGTATGATGAGTTGACCAGCGAATGCAACATACGAAAGCAATGTGCTACGTGATCAATTAAACCGTCGTTTTACGGTTTGCAACAGAGTTTACATACAACTGTTAAACTTGACATTACCTACATTAACCGATGACCGACGTGGCGGCGGTATGAATTGATTGGTAGTTTGTACTTTGTTGAGAGCTAAGGGCAATACAACAAACTACCCAGTCAAGTAACACTAGTACCATGCATTCTTTTTTTCTCATTTGGTGGATATAACAAAAATATGTCCGTTAGATCCGAATCACGATCGCGCGATCTTATGACACAGCTCAACCGAATTTAACCATGGGCTAACCGATTCAACTCGGTTCATGCTCAAACAGGTTTAAATCGGTTAGAAAATTCGAGTCGTCACACCACTAATAACAATACTCTAAGAGATTATTTATCTACTTGTATATCACAGAGACTGCAGTGTTGATCTTTAATTTTTCAGTGTTTTATTAAAATGTCTGAAGCTGTAGGAGAAGGAAGTTGTAGTAAAAAAACGAAGAAAACTGATGCCTCAGTAAGTTTCTACCTTAATAGCATACTTGCCCATAACGTAGATTAACATTACAGTCGATAAAATCAACATTAGTCATATTAACATTGATATGACGAATATATTTCTTAAAGATTTTTTTTTTTTTCAGGATCCTGAAGTGGTGCTCGGGCACCGTGTAGTTCAAACTCGCGATGTAAAGTGGCTATGTGTGCCAGACATTTACCAGAAGTTGCATAGACCTAATTTGTATGATATTGGCGGCACATATATGCATGAAGTAGCAGACTATTGGTTCATGTTCAAATCGGAACAAGTGGGTAACATTTTCCTGCTGCACTTGTTTATTTGTAACCACACAGAAAGCTGTTTCACGGTCGCCGTCAGCTGCAATAGCACTCTCAAAGTTGATAAGAAAAACAAAATAGTTTATTTACAGCAGTACCATAAGGAATTTGAATTTAAAAAAGTCCCAGAAATGTTTCACAGTTACCTTACCACATATAACTTTACAGATATTGATGTTGAACTTTTTAAAGACAAGAATTTGTATATAGCAGTAAATTTCCCCTGTGACACCAAGGGAATTAGTCTTGATGTAATTAACAGGATTAAAATTAACCATGACTGTGGGGCTCTATTGACAGACCCTATTGATTCAGACTTCACCATAGAATCTGCAGACGGAGGCAAGTTTAAGATTCACAAAGTCATTCTAGCTGCCCACAGTGAAGTCTTCAAAGCAATGCTTAAAGAAGAGACTGCTGAGAGTCAGAATAGTTATGTTAAACTTGTAGATGTCAGTGAAGAAGATCTACGTGGTATGCTAGAGTACATCTACACGGGCACAGTGAAAGATGTAGAAAATGTGAATTTTGCTAATTTGTTGATGCTAGCAGACCGATATAACTTACAAGGTCTTTGTGAACTGTCACAGTATGCTCTCTCAGAGCAGTTAGGATTAGACAATGCTTTTGATATTTTAGTCATCTCAGACATGTATGACTCTGACTTTTTGAAGAATGAAGCTTTAAAATTCATAAAAACTAATCCGGAAGTGCTCGACTGTGCTACGTTTAAGGAGATTAATAGTCCTGCTTTGATAAGGGAGTTGTGCACCTACTTAGCTAAGTAGCTGCAAAACTAAAAAAACAAACAGAATGCCACAGATTAGGTACTTGTCACATTGAAGTATAGATTGCAATAAGAACCTACCTATAAAAACTAAGTGTGTTTCCTCTTATTTCATTATCTTGTGGTTGTAATATCATAATTCATATAGCTAAGTTAATATGTATGTTTCTATAGACAATCAAGTAGTCATTTCCAAACCCCTGTCAATTATATTTAATTGTAATAGATCTCTTTTGTAATACCTCTTACAATGGACATAGATTCACTTTGCTACTTTAGTCCTCTATTTTTTGCATTTCAATGTACAGTTTAATGTTGTAATTATTTATAGCTTCTACTTACTTATTATAATAAATTATATATTGTTGTTGTCTAATATTTCAATGTTTTATTAATAATTTAAAAACTGCACACACAAAAAAAAAATGAAAAACGTATGATACAGAAAACGTAAAAATAAACTTTATTGAATTTAAGACATAACTGTATTATTATATGGTAAGTAAAATTAATATTTAAAATAAATATTATTATTATTATATATTAGTAGATAGATATATCGTAGTACAAGTGAGGTTGCACGCAGGTCACTTGCTCAGTCCACCGCAGGGAGCTTTACCCTGTGCCCTGGTCGCAGCGCACTCGTTGGCTAAATAATCATTTTGGAATGTTACTGGAAGTCTTCGTTTCTGCGGCAAACAAACATTTTCTTCATTAAAAATGTTAGTTCACGACTTAAGTTCGGGTGTAGTGCGACAAAGGTTTTTGTTAATTTACTGAGTAAAGTGATGCGGGTGGACCGTTCACAGCGGTCGGCACGAGCGCCGATGCTCAGCTATTTACTGTTACGCAAAAAGCACAGGCGAATAATGCAACAAGCCTCTAAGCGGCGCCAACGACCGAAAACAAAGCTCTCTGGCTGCGAGCCAACAGCTCACTAAATGTGAACAGTCCATGTGATAGCGTTGCGACTACGTTAAATAGCGATCATGTACGTACTAGCTAAAGTAATACTCATTTCAACGTTACTATTGCTTCCGTCGCAACTCTAGTCGGTGCTACGATGGCTCTTACAAAACCAGTTATGCCACTCGGTATCTAACTTCGTTACTATCAATCCATTCGTATGCGGTCAGCGAGAGGATCCACCTGTTCAACATGCAGGAGAAGCAAGAAAAAAGGCCAATAGTTGTCTTATCGTTTATTGATAATTACTGGAACCGAGTACATAAGAACCAAATAGAATAAATCTCTCATGAAAAAAATACGCGTCCATGTAATGATCGCCTAGCTCCTAATGGCTGTAATCGGATATAAAAATAAAAATACAGGACCCCTACGGTTACTCTCATGTTGAATGCAAGCTACAGTACATATTTCTACGACTGGTCAACTGCTGTTACTACAATGTTTATGATTGATACCACAACTCTCGTTAAACTATATTACGTGTTTCACTTAAATGAGCATGGCATACTCGATATATCTAATAAAATACAATAATGTGCCGTGAAATGAATTATTGTTGGATTTACAATTTGTTATTTATTGCTAATTGGCCACAGGATTGTAATTAACACAATGTTAAGTCTGTGAATGCCCCACGACATGTAACTGCCCCCTATTGAGAAGCGCCTCTGCTTCTGTTTATGCAAGACAATGTTAGCGGACGCTGTTAGACACCTTTTGCTCACACTTGACACAATGAGGCTCCCATGTACTCACTGTCAGTACCACGCAGCTGAACTTTCGCTAAACACTTCATTCTGAAGCTTATTTGTAAGCGTGAAAGTTAGATTTAGAAACAGAAGAAACACAAAAATCATTGGGTGAATATTTTAAGTCGTACAAGAACCGTGTTGATTTTCATTATCCATTTAATTAAAATATTAAAGAGTGACGTTTTTATATGAGCTCCTCGCAATATGAGACTGGATGACAGTTACGGAAGGCACGGTTAGTGGGTGCTATGCGTCCTGTAGTGGGGCAGTGTGACGTCACAGGTAGTCACGGTATGTACACAGTCGGTATCGATGTGTGGGAGCGTCTGTATCAATGTGCGGGTGTGGCGCCGGCCGCGCGGGTTGTCACTAGCGTTTACCGTTGTTGTACGAGAGACTCCTCAGCGGCGCCTTGAAGTTAGCCGCCGCTTGCTGTTGGATCTGGTACGCGAGCGGGTGGATCTTGAAACCGTACAACCTGACACAAATAATCATTTCATGTTTACACATATTAATATTAAACATTATACTGTTCAAGAGCTGACAGTGATGACATTCATTTAGAGAAAAATACTTCTATTGTGCAGGTGAAAGTACATAAATATGACTATACCTAGGCACAAACTGCGATGCAGGTCGTTTAGGCCTGTATTCCGGGTGTACCATAAACACCATGTGCGGGAAACCAGTGCCGAAGTAGGCGCCGTCGGTGTGGTGGTGTCGCGAGGACTTGGGCGTGTACACGTCCATGCAGCGTGGGCAGTACAGCTTAACCATCGCCTCGCCGGGTACATCTGATAGACCTGGAACGAAATACTTAACACTTGCAATACACGTCAGGGTTGCCAGATATTGCCATTTGTGTATATTTTCTTGTATAATTATTTAAAATAACTGTACTCATTTAAAAAAGCATATCTGGGACATTTATATATTTCCGTATAATGAGTCCTAGAAATAAATAAAATTGGTGATTTAAAGCCAAGAGCGAGTAGGCATTTACAGAAACATTACTCAACCTCATAAACTGGAACATATTAAAAAAAGTAAGCAGTTTTCAAACATGACTTTGAAGCTTAATTTAGGTCCTAGAATAGAAAGAGACAAATTGGTCCTATTAAGGTTCCTTTTCCTCTAAAGTCATATGGAATACTTGGTTAGTTTTGTATTATTACTGGGACTCAGGATTAAATCTTGAATAAACCAATAAAAAGTGTTCCTATTGGCAGCGGTACTGCTTATAATAGTGTAAAAGGACAAAGAAAATACTCACCAAGTGGAAGCATGGTTTGACATTCACAATAAACGCGAGGGCAGTGACCAAAATCACCAGTTTGGAATTTCTCTAACATTTGTCCAATCCCTCTGTAAACAAACAATAAACGTATGTCACGTGACATATCAATAATATTATTGATAAATAAATAAAATATAAATCAGTTTATCGTCAAATAGTACGTACAATATTGTGCGATATACTGTGGCCCCCTATAAGCAAGCTACGTGGGTGTCAGATACGATCCAAACTAGCAAGAATTATTGTTTGCTCGGCCGACATCAGTTTTATTCTAACTCAAAATATCATTATTTCATAAAATTGATTGAAATCGTCTCTTATGTGCACATCACTGATAACAAAATGCCAGCGCCTTCCTCGATAAACTGCCTCGGCGCAGTTTCATTAGATAACAGAAGGCCAATTCTCGTAATACCAGTTCGGTCAAAATTTAGTAAAAGTATTTTCATAGTAAAACAGTAAAGTATCATTTAAGACTAGCAGAATACTGATTCAATTTTCTATGACAATACAACATAATCACATTACAGTCAACGTTGTATGTTTAATACTTTACCTTAACTAAGTACCTTTCATGTCAGAGTCGATCGGAACTGAATTTTAGCCGAACTTTTATTAGGAAAATTTGCCTTCTGTAATTTCGCCACTATTGATCTTACACCATTTTATATGTCGAACACGCGACTTGCTTTGTATTTCTATTCAGTGAGGATTTCATCTGAAGAATACGTAATCACTAAACAATTTTTTTTTTCTAAAATCTTAGAGACACGGGAATATTCGCTACCCTAAATTTCTGGTTAAAACCTGAGACACGACTAGTATGAAATAAAGTAATGCATTTAGAAAGTTGTTATAGGTTGTTTTACGGTTGGAGAATAGTTTAAGCAGTTTTCACGACAATTGTCTCTGCATTGGGTGTTGTGATTGCGAGTCCTGTATTATATTTGGTCTTAAGTGAAACCAGGTTTTTAATTGGTAGTGTGGTGTGTAGATGTTACATGCTGCTGGAGTCCGCCTGTCACAATGGCCAGTGCAAATTTATTTACAGCGACTTAGATTTTGACTATGTTACCCCAAACATCCTGGATAAACCCAAGCTGATAAAAGTAACGATGTAGTGAAATGCCAAAGTCCGTCTAAGAGCAATTGAAATTTAAAAAAAAAGACATAGATAAGTACTATGCCCATGACCATGGGGTACTATAAAATAATAGGGACTTTATGAGTTTAATTAAATAATTTAGTCTATTAAATTAATTAAATATTTTTGTCAATTGGAAACAGTAAAAGTGAGTTTGAGTTTGAGTATAAACGGCACATAACTCGTTTCAATCTTGAAGACATTAGCTGATGCTTCAATGACGTCATCTTATCTATTGACTGATTGATTTTACTGAGAACTGCATCGAATACTAATGCAATAAACACGAGTTCGGATTTAGATTCATATTCAATCATGGAAAATCTAAACGATGATTTATAATGTCAAGTGTTAAGTGGAAATAAATTGTATTGTCTTACTAAATGAATAAAAAAAATACGTCGAGACAATTTTCAATTTTTACTTATTTGCGAATGGTCTCTTTCCGTGAAGCGGTACCTAATGCTCCAGACAGACCCCGCTGAACCAGATCGGGAGAAGGCCGATCAGAACCGTACTGCCTATACGACATCGTCCGAAAAAAGTAAAAATCAATGCGCGCTTTTGACATTTTGCGGTTTTCTACATGGTTTTCAACTTACCTATTGGTTAAAATATATCGTGCATGTATAAGTCCATATAGGATCTCGGAAGCCTGCTCCACCAGATCAGACTGGTTAGGGTTGTCGTCAAGGTCATCATCTGAAAGTAAACATGTGATTTAATTTGTATATATTATTACTTTTCCAACTGGTAGGTAATGTACACAAATATTGGTATTGGTTGTGGGCTTCGGTTTCCGCATTTAGACTCAAGAGTGGTGCTTTATGCGTCGAGGACTGGTTAGCTAGGTGAGCCAACCAAGCTCCTTCCAGAAGCGCAGAAGCCTCCTGGGGCGTTCACGGGCTTCTAGGAGCGATTTTGTATCGGAAATGATACTTGACCGTTGTGTGGCCATTTATACAAATAATTATGATCCAAGGTTTATAGTATTGATATCTATATGTATAAGAAAAATAAAATGAACAAAATAAAAAAAATGTTTAAAGCGACTTACAATTTTTTTTAAATTTAAATTATGGCAAGACAAGACCATATATATGGCTCACACTGTCAAAAAGTTTTTAATCTCATGTAGAGCCAAGCTTCTAACGCCCTATACTAATATTATAAATGCGAAAGTGTTCTGTCTGTCTCTTAGCGGTTTAAGCGTGAAGAGGTCACGCTTATATCGCTGAACCGATTTAGATGAAATTTGGTATAGAGATAGTTGGTGTCCCGGAAAGACATAGGATAGTGTTTATCTCAAAAATCATCCGTATTTTAAAAAAATGGTTTCGAAATGTACGGAAAAAAGAAAAACAAAGTGAATTAATGGATAAACAGTGAAATAAAAGTACTAAACCTTGTCATCTGTGCCTGCTGATATTATAAAAAAAAAGTACTAAGTGGTCTTGCTGATTCATTGAATGAGGAATTGTGTACAAAGTATTTTAATATTAACTCAATTTATCAAGTAGGTCATTATATGTATAAATAGAATTGATAACATTTTACACTTCTAAAACCAACACTGTTTATACAGTCTTCAAAAGAGTTTGTTCTATATGCTATAATGGTGTAAATTGTCACTACTAACATAGGATAAGTTTTATGTATTACTAACAAGCTATGAGTCATGGTTACTCCAATAAAATGATTATTATTATTATTATATCTGAAAAACTTTTAAATGGGTTAGAAAAAATCTTGGAGTTTAATAGATTAACTATAAGGGAAATTTATAGAACAAGTAAGAAATTTAACAAGGTGGAACTGCTATAATGATCATAAACAAGTTCACCAGCTGCATATTATTATAGTAATGACTGGAAACTTTGATTTCTACGCTACTTGCTAGGCTAATATTCTTGTATAGCATGTTTAACTCATGACTTGCAGATAAGACACAAATAATTTCAAGTATGTTAATGATTTACTATGTATAATGGATTCATAATATTCATTTGATAAATAATTATTTGTCTCAAATTAGTATATATGTTGTATGTATGTATATATATATATATATATATATATATATATATATATATATATATATATGTATGTATATTTTGTTTATATATGTATGTGTAGTGTGAACAGATGTATATTTGTGTATGAGCGCTTTTGTTGATATTTGTAAATATTCACGTGATAATGCGTTACGTGTGTCTGTAGACGACCCAAATTTTTAAATATTTAATATCCGTATTGAGGTTGTCTGTAAGAGATCGCTGTAAGCCATTAGACCGCCGATTGTTACGTCTATATATTTGTAAGTAACTTATGTGTTAACTGTATGCAATGAAGATGAAAATAAAATAAATATGAAATACTAGCTGACCCGGCAGATTTCGTACTGCCTCAATTGATAAATAAAAGACCTAAACTTTTGTATAAAATAAACAAACAAAAGGAATCCTTTTTTTATGAAAACAATTAAAAAATGCTCGGAATTAAAAAAGAATCGAGCATTTTCATATTTATTCGCCTTTTAAACCTTCTCTGGACTTTCACAAATAATTCAAGACCAAAATTAGCCAAATCGGTCCAGCCGTTCTTGAGTTTTAGCGAGACTAACGAACATCAATTCATTTTTATATATATATAGAGATATAGAGATAGTACTTAAGGCATAATGACATTTAAATGACTTACAATGTCAGACAAACTACCTGAAATATAAGTTGTTCCATTGCCTATAAAATATTCTTAATACAAATAGTGTGAAGATAAAATCCAACGAATGCAATGCCGAAATGTAAACGGATGGGTTAGAGGCTATTCGTAAGAAAATAGCTTCCATCTTGCAGCATCTGCAGAATACCTAAAAGGCCTTCTAAAAGTCAATGCTACAAGGTGCGACTGCCCTTTTAAAAAACATTGGTTAAGGCCAGTTATAGGTATAATGTAAAAACAAATTTAATGTAATGATACTAATAAATTCTATGCAACTTGTTACTAATGCACTAACACTGCATAGACTGTATCACTATATTCTAAAATAAATGATTATTATTATTATTATAAACACAATACTGTGTTGTGTAACTAACACATTAGTAATGTGTACATTTGAAATATTGTAATCTGTGTTTTTAGTTTTAAATAAAGAATTTTTATTATTATTATTATTATCCCTCCAACACAAAGGCATTCCAATGAGATGACGCAATCATGCCTGGTAGGCTATAGCCCTAAAATGATTTTAAGACAAATCTAATTTAAATATATCTCTTTATTATATACCAAAAGAAAAAAAAACTGTGCTTAAATTTAAGCAAAAGTCAGCACCCTACCTATTAAAAAGCAGGCAGGCTTTAACAATTCTGTATATTGGCTTTTAATGTATTTTTCTTACCTATTTAAACGAGGAAAAGTTGTAAATAACAAAATGTATTTCTAATACATAAAACATAGACTTTGAACATTATTAGTAATTATCTTTAATAGAGAAAAAACTTGCAACAAATTAGTTGACATTTTGCAAAACAACCACTTAAAGCCTTTTCAAAAAACATTGCAAAAACAATATAATAGTGGTGCAACATGATTGCTACTTTCCAATGCTTTGGGACTTAGTTGCAAGTGCCATTGGCTATTGAAAGGAACACCATCTCTCGCATCGCTTGTGAAATACTAGTGTCTTTTTTTTCACTTTTTTATTTAAAGTTGCAGTTAAAGTATAAATAATGATGAAAAACAGGATGGTTATCTGGTTTGTAGTGGATCATATGTAGCATGGTATGTATTGGATCAATCCCTCCCACATGCTCACCACTGTAACTCCTGTACACCAGGATCAACAGCGGTGACCCACGAACATTTTGAGTTATGACAACTCAGGAAGTCCTATGAAAAATTTATGTAGTATGGAATATTATGTAATATGGATGGGTGCAATGTACATACTAATGTGGTGTCAGTGTAGAGTAGTTAATAATAATAATATTATTATGATGATAAGACTACCTATAGTCTAGCTATAAATATTGTTTTTAAGTACTGAAATATCCTACATCTTTATCATGCTTTGCACTGCTGTGCTCTGGTCCCGCATTTTAAATCTCCGATATGTTCTAAGATATTCATTTTAATATGCTGTTAAGAGCTATTTCAATTTACATTTAATGCACAACATATTGAACTTTTTTAAGTGGATAAGGAATACCCATTACTTTTTTGTAAGATGTAAAAGAAAAAAATGGTGACTGTGGGTTATCCTTACGAGATAGTATACAAAAGTCTTAGTCTTTGAAATATACAATTCCGTAGTACATTATTTTCTATATACATATATAACTTTAAAACGAATTGACTGATTTGAACAATTCAATAAATAATTTGCACTTAAATTTATAGCCTAAATTACTAATTGGTTTATTTAGATAAAGCTTTATATCGTGATACTAATAGAATCACTTTTGGTTTTGATCCATCTTTTAGTTAAATAATTTCAACAAAAATGGTTTTTATAGCCTAAATATAAGATTTAGATAGACCTCCTTGATGAATTTTTTGTGCATAGTGTTGAATAAGTTCAAATATTTTTTTTATGTATTATCAATAATTTTTGCAGAGCATGCAAAGAAAGCAAATATTTGTAGCAATTTTCAGAATTTATTGTGTTTTCAAACTAAAATATACCCTACGTTACTCCCTGATAATGTAGATTTCTATAAGTGGAAGAATATTTAAAATTGGTCCAGTACCTTCAGAGCCTGTCCACTACAAACAAACAACCAAACCTTGCCTCTTTATAATATTAAATATAAGTATAGATACTCACATTTCAATTTATTTTATCTATGGTTTACAATAATCTTTTAAAGCAACTTTTTACTGTCACTTAAATATACCCTATGCCTTTGTGAAAAAGTAATCTCATAATTAAAAAAAACCAAGTGTGTAGGTTGTATTATTAAACAAAGAGCAATTTACTGCACCAATCTGAGAAATAATTAAATATCAATTGCACAACAGTCTTCTTAGTAAGAGATTTATTTTAGACATTTTAAATACATGACGTTAAGTGATGAGGCTACAAAGACAAAAAGAATTGTCTTTGGACCATACCATGTTAGGTAATACAGATTTAATTGGTTGGTAGTCATACAACATATATTTAAAATATCAATCTCTGACCATAAATTTTACGTTTAATATGCAATTATTTAATACAATCTAAACTTTATACTGCAAAAGAACAGTCGGTAAGAAATAAAATTATTTTCTACTGTCTAATGTCAACATGAGCCATTTGAAGCAATTGTTATAATTATATAAATAGAACAGCAGTTAACCTACACACATGGTATTACAATAACATTATATACACTCACCAGGCTCCAAATCCAATATCATGTCCAAAGCTTGTCTATAATGTGGCACTTGCTCATTGAGTCCCGTCAAGTTGAATTTATCATTTATATAATCCTCGTCCACCTAAAACGAAATATGTTGGATCAATATTCTATGAAATCATAACACAATTCGTTAATTATCCAAGTATTTACCTCGCAGAAGAACTCGTTCCCCCGCAGCCCGCAGAACCATGAAATCCATGATACCTCCTCCGAGCTGCTCATTTTCCTAAAATAAAGATATTTGTAAGCATTAACCGTTTCCGTACACTGTTTCGGACGTAAAAAATCCAACGCTTGTTACTCCACACTGTTAATACTAAATTCTAAGCATTCCTATGATTTCACCTGTTTTTGTTGTAGCTTTTTCGATTTTCACAGCGTACTTTAGACGAATAATATCAATTTCACAAGAATTATGAGTAGATGTACGTGAAATAAACAGAATTTAATGCAATAAAATGATGACAAACCTCACCTTTTCGTGCCTTGATTAGCCACGCTTGACGGGAGGGTACTTGGGATGAGGGAGAGAGAAATTTCAATTTACTGTGTTGGTGTCACAGAATATAGATAACGTTGTCTATGGATTTATATAAAAGTACACTTTGATGTATACAAAATACAAACTTCAAACATTATGTTCATTCTTTTGGACTTTTTATTAATACGCATCTCAGGTATTTAGGTCTAGACTTCATTCTTGAAAGTAATTGCTGTCAGTCCAAACCAAACTCCACCTTATCTTCACAAAGCTCGCTTTACGTTGTAAGTATTGATAATCCGATTTGAAAAAATATGTAGGACAGATTCACTATCAGGATTCTCTTTAACTTCATTTTTAGCGATAACAAGCGTGCCTTTACTGTGCCTGTCCCGCAATCCGCAATAATGATGTACGGAATAACACCGATCACGGAGTGTTTATGATCATGACTCAGACTTGAGATGCAAGAGTGTGCAGAACCTGAGTGATTTTCATGCAGTGTTCTAAAATTCAAGCCAACGAAACTATTAAAAATCATTTTAGTTAAAATAATCTTAGAGTACTTCAATAATATAGCCCACAATGACGGCTAGAACTCAAGGTTTGCTTGAATTTGTTTTTGAAAATCACTGACTTAGGCCACGTACGTAGACAAACTTAGGAGTTTCATTTAAAGTAAAGAATTTATTTTAAAATTTAAGATTTTAAGGCAATCCTTAAACGCAGGATTAATTTCATGCAATCTAAAATTAAATATAATAATTATTTCAAGTTTTTAGTTTGTTCGTCTGTTTTCACGTTATCACGTCACACAGTACGTCAAGAGGCCTTAAAATCGGACATGCTCGTTTTTCTTAATCAAAAGTTTACAACTCATTTTTACAAATGTTTAAGAAAAACTCCTGTTTGAAAATACCACATAGATTTCTAGAAATAAAAATTTGAAATTAAAAAAATTACTCATTTGAAAAGGGGAAAAAAAATCTTATTTAGTAACCAATAGCATTAAACTCTAAATATTTACACTATTTCATAGACCTCTTAAAAATACACGTAATAAGCGTTTGAATATGCTTCGTAAGTGTGAATCAATTTCAATTGGTTTCAAAATCAATTAGTTTTAGCAGTTTTAGAATTTATAATACAGGTAAGGATATCAATCGGAGCCGCATACAAATAAATACCCGAGGCCGTAATTCTACGTTCATCGCAAATGTTTCGCCAGGCAACAATGAGGTATGCAGTATTGTTTAACACCTACTTGATGATGGCCTACTATTGCGCATTGCGGAGCATGGCCCATCAACGGCCATTTTGGACTGGGCTCTTTACGCCCACCTTGTGCCAACTACAGCTAGTTACCGTCATTCAGGCACATTTATTTGAAAATAAATATTTATTTATGTTTTTAAATCCATACATAGGTACTATAGATAGATCACATCCAGGTACAGAACACAATTATATATTTGTCGTGCTCATCATACAATATTTGTACTTTACCAACGACAGAAGCGAACCCACAACTTTGAATGTGAGTTATGTAACTCGATTATTTTGAACATCTCATCACTTTAATATCAGATTCTATAAAGATTAATTGCCAGCCTGGTATAGATAAAATTTGGATATACTCGTAATGCTTGTAACTAGTTCTTTGAAGCAACAGCCTCTCTAGGTAAAACTTCAAGAATCAAGAATTATTTTCGAGGTTTTCAGTTTATCATGTCTTTCCTCACGCCCTTTCGCCTTCTTGCAATTAAGTAAAAAAGAGCTTAACGTGGCTTCCGTTAGAGATTTAACATAATTATGTATTTTGTTTACATTTTTTTATTCTACCTACTTGGTTTTCTCAGTTCTTCTGTTATATATCCGAATGCTCGTTTTTTTAATTTAGATACATAACTGTGAAAAAAATAAAAGAACAGAGGTATAAATCAAAACACACTTGCATATTTTTATTTTATTTATTGTTTGAAGCTAACATCGAGAGCTACACTGATTATTTGGTTAACATAATTTATTGTGTTAATTTAATTATATGTCAATTGGACTTACAAAAAAAACTGGCAGAGATAGAGAGAGCCATAGATGAGATGGTTATTCTACATAATGGTATTTTTAGTGTTGTAGGGTCTATTACATGTATATGACTAGACTGTATTACAGCAGCAATTATCCAATCATCCAGTTAATGCTAAACCAAAAAAAAATGACCAAAACTTATAATTTTTAGAAACATCTTTTTTCATCACTTTTTTTGTAGATAATTGTCAACAGTTAATAAAATCATCATGATCGTAGAATAACGTCGGTTTAAAATACAAAATTCAGTTTTTACCATATTTGGATACTACGTTGTCTAAATATTATTACTACATTCAAGAAAAAATATTTTGAAAAAACATTTTAGATTTTAAATTATTCCGTATTTGTTTGATAGGCTCTCAAAGGAAAATGAAGCATGTTCTAGAAAATTGTGTAATTATTAGTTGTTATTTTTATTGCATATTAAAAGAAACCCTATTTTTCACTTGTATGTCAATTTCCATATTTACAGATATAGAATTAAAAAAGTTATGTCAAAATAATTAACATAGTTATTTCAAATGGCTGCTCTTTTTTTTATTTATTCTCCATTTAAAGCGTTTTTAATACAAAAAGGCGTGAACTTATTAGTTTAAATCGTTAGATATATGCACATTACAAATCACAGTATTTTGATTTCTCAAAAACTGTGCACTTATGTGGGCGAGCACACTTAAACCGCATTATACGTAAATGGCTTTTGCAGTTAATATCGATTTTGTGAAACAATGATCATGTGTAAATTGCCCAAAAAACAAGAAAGTTTGGTTGTCTTCTTTTGAAGTTGTATAAAAATTCATTGGCGCCAGAAGTTTAATTTTTCCATACATACATACGTAGGATTATTAGTGGAACTATATGGTTCGGCTAGAAGAATCTTGCAAAATAGGCAACGAAACAGATGGATAGTAGATAGTCCCCTCTATATCTTTCTAGTCGAGCTCTTTGGTTGGCTAGGGAATCAGAGGGGTTAATAAGGCCAATCGCAGCTTAGCTAAAAAAAGACAGAGGGAAATATCGGGCATTCATCTCTCTCGTTGCCTGTATCGCTTCCACTTATAGACAGCTGTACCCCGTGTTCTCCTATGCTGCCCATGCCTAAAGCTATCTTTTACGGTAAAATATTAATGACAGGATTTCAACACACATTTTATATGTAGTATTTGTGTTGAAATCCTGTCATTAATGATTGACTAAATACGTCTTTAACTTTATGAAATTAAAGACGTATTTGGTTAATCAACTTGATCAATCCATCTAGACAAGTAAATGTTGGGTGTAGCCGCCTAATTGTGACCCTCGGTATAATTCCTTCAATGTCGCCGCTTCCGTGGTGCTTTCCATTCATACTACTATCACAGACCACTATTACTAAAACATTTATTTTTTTATTCGTGAGACTAATATTATGTACTCACTCTATGGTATTTATTAAAAAACATTATATTATATGATACATTTGTTTCTTTAGCTTAAAATATACTTAAGGATTAATATCAATAGTTTTTGCCATTTCTAAGTACTTTACATAGCTATTGAGACAATGATAAAGAAAGTATGGATGTGTTGCCTGTACTCTGAAATGGCAAATTATGCACTTAATCGTAACGCAACTGACATTATTGATCTTCCTTTAACAGGTAACTCGTATCGAGGAGTTTATTTTCTTTCCCTTGCTTCGCGAGGGTAAGATATTTTATATATTTTTGGGAGCCGCGGTGTTCGTGTATGTCGCATCTAAATTATAATACTTCATCGAATGGAGTCAATTGGATTAACTTCATGAAAAAGGCAGTATTTTTTCAGTGTCATGTGGGGGTGTTGATATCACCTCACTGGAGCCGAGGACGCCGTGGTATACCGGACTCTCACAAGCGGGTTAATGCAGGGGACCTGGGATATCGTGACAAGAAAGCCTGCGAGAATCTCGGCCACCTACACGATTAAACCGCTTCGTATTCTCTGTGTGGTGATGGATTGAGAATATAAAGTGTCACCACCTCTGTTCATCCCGTGGGTTTCGTAAAAGCCGGCTAAGCTAAAGTAGCAAACTACGCAGGACAACAGTACTGCAAAGAGAAGGACAACATGATACAAAGCCTATACCATTCCGTCTGGCCAGCATTGTATAGTAGGCCAACACATTCTTTCTAAGGAGAGGATTATGTCCAGCCAGCGGACTAGTAAAGGCTGTAGATGATGGTATTTGTGTTTATAACTATAAATATTTGCATGCCTAATACAGGCAGAATAGAGCTTGAAACATGCACCATTGTTAAATCTGATATAGTCCGATGCAAACTTAATGGCGGCTCGGAACATCGTGCGTTTCGATGCGCAGAACACAATAATAGACAGCAGCGGGACGTCAAAAACGCGGGGGCAGGGCGACACTCGACACGCATGCTTTTTTGTGTGCGAGTTACATCCGTACACTGCACATGCGCGCATATTCCTGTCTACGTACAGTCGAGTCGACTTGACTGTAGGTACCTGTGCACACCTGTGTGTGCAGCTAACTTCAGAGAGGTAATTAAGTTTGCATCGGGCTATACCACCTGTGTTCTGTGCAAATAAACGTTTTTTTCTTACTATCTTTCTGTATTTGTAAGTAAAAAAACAAAATACCCATTTACTACATGGACTTTATGGTCAAGGATGGACTGACTTCCATGTTGCAGTCCATACTTAGCCAGTGAAAAATACGTTTGGCTGAATTTAGTCAATGGTATTTTGTCTTAAAACTATTGTTAGGTGAGATTAGGCTAGATATCTTTTATTACATTTAAACCAGTAAAAAGTAAATTTTGTCTGATAGTAGTGCATAAAAGTATTAGGTAAGCTTAGATATTTTTCTTTATTCTAATGAGTAAAAAATTATATTAACACACGCTGTAGGTACTTTTGACTATTGGCTTTAGTCAGAACTACTATTTTCCATAAATTTTCAAACGAAATAACTATTGACAAAAGATAATAATATAACGATAACAATCATACAAATGATTTTCAGTCAAAGGTACTTTTCTTTGTTTTTGTTAAAAGTATTTTTGACCGATTAAGAAATTTAACTGTAACATTTACTTTATACATAGCTTACACATATATAATCGTTTAATAACCATAAAACCAACTTTTTTTTTTTATTAATCTTCGAAACCAGAACTTCATTTCCATATTTTTAAAGCTCCTAGCTCCACTCCTAGATGCATTGGTACTTTATATTCTATTATAAGTTACATAATCAGGTTAATTCCATACTTTGGGTATGTACACACGGCAAACGAAATATCTGGTTAGTATACGAAATATCTGTGATTTTAATGACCTAATTACTAGAGAAATTGAGACTTATGACTTTTATTATAGTAACATTAAAAATTATAAATGTATGTAAACGAGTTATTTACAGGTCACACACATGTAAACATATAATAATATACTCACCAGAATACATTGTTACAGAACACATGTATACAGGTATAAATGTGTGTGTGTCTATGATTAGATATGTCATTTGACGTGTTTACATATCAATGAACTGACTAAGGTTAATACAGTGTACATATACATTGTCATAAAGGTGTGGACAAATTGTAGTAGCGTTGTGTAGCCTACAAATAGGTTAACTTTAAAAACAAAACTACATTTTAATTTTTTAATTTTCTAGTGTAGGTCTCATTATCTCTTCATTTTTGTTATATTTTTTATGTTAATTTCAATGTTTTTTTTTTTGCAGAAATTTTCATAATAACCTGGACATTCTATCAACATTATCAAAGTTCTTTTCTACAAATATTACCTTTTTCAGTCAATTTAAAAGTTTAATTATGCAGTTTAAAACATCTGGACCTTTCCCAAAGTTGTTAGCGCTTAATGCTAGAATTTGACCACACCTCAAAGTAACACCTGTATAATTTTATTGTTCACCAACATATATAACATACAAACATTAGCATCGCGTTCCATAGAATTACAATGTTACAATAAGTTATTTACGTAATCAAACATAACATGGAAAAACTTAAACATTCAAAGAAAACTACAAAATACCATAACATGACTCCATATTTAAGATTATTTATACTTTTTTGTTCCAAGAACTAGAATGATACACATACACTAAATACACTGTATACACTTAACTACACACTCAAAAGTATTTCAATTGTCTCTCTCATTCATTTTCGGATACAAAAACTCACCTTCTGAAACAAATCTATTGGATACAACACGACTGCATTTGTTTCAGAAGCGAGTTTTCTTGAGGATATCAGTTTCTCATAGTATGCATATATTGAAACAGGTACTTGGTTAATTCAACATCTTTAAGATTTGTCCATGCGCTGGTTTTCATAACTTCTGGATTCTTAATTATAAATTCGAAAACCTTATTCTCTAATTCCTTTAGCTTATACTTCTTGGCTATAACAGCAACTTCAACAGCATTGCCGATCGTTATCTGATCTCCAATAGTGTGCTGGGTCAACATGAACAGTGGTTTGAGTTGAAATTTATCTGCTATCTCTAATAGTTTCAAACAGTCTTGTTTCATCACATTCTTGATAGTGCCGGTGTATATAAATTCCAGAAGTAATTCCATATCATTATCACTTATATCTATAAACAGAGACTTAAGCTTTGAGCTCTTAATCATATTCCTCAAGACAGAACTGTGAGCAGCTAAAAGAATCTTATGAGTTGGGAACTGCTTATGAGTAGCAGATTCAAGAGTGAAGTCTGTCTTTTCTTGTTTTGTTAAGAGTGCACTCAAATCGTGTTGCAATTTCATTGAATTGACAATATTCTCATTTAAAACATACTTGGGATCCACTACAATTTTTATGGGTATTATGAGTGTGCTTGATGGATTAAAACTATCAAGTTCTTTGTTGAAGCAGTATGTTTTTAAGTAATAATTTTGATTGGGCTTTGTAGATCTAAATATTTTGCTTGCTGTCAGAGTACTCGGAAGTTCCACATGTGGTACATCATCTTCCAGAACCTTCTTTAGAGTGAGTTGGTTTGAGTCAGACACTTGTACGGAGAAATTGCCAGCTTTTCTATGGTAGACGAATAGATTGAGTAAGTGATTATTTCCGTGGCAATATGATGTTGTATAGTGGAACCAAAACTCTGGTTCGGTCCCTGAGTAAGTGCCTCCAATATGAAATTCATCGGAGTCTTTTAATTTTTTGCAGGCTTCATAAATGCACAGCTTGGTAGCTTCTGTAGTTTGACAACTATATATGGGGGATACATACCCATATACATTCTGTAAAAAAAATGATTCAATAAGAATTTGGCCATGTCTACAGAAAGTATGAAAAAAGCAGGCTTTTTGTAAATTAGAGCCCGCTGTAGACTGAAAATATACTTAAACCTCCTACAGAATAAACAATTCTTGGCCTATAACAATATGGAGCACAGTGTTACCAAGCCCAACACGCTTCTATGTCAATTTAGTTCTATACAAATTAAGGCGCAACACGTTTTTTGATCATGATGATATGATATGGTCCCGTTTTATCTGATGTGATAAATAAGTCTACCTAAATCAGAATATACAGACAAATATAAAATTTTAAAGAAATTTAGGGAAACCCTTGGTAAAACTGTAGTAAGATACATTGCGATAGGAGCAAATAAGCTGTTCATTTTCCCAGAGGGAGTGGGGAGTTGACCCCTCCCATCGGTTTAGGTTCACGACACGCTCCAATTTACACAAATTGGAGCACATATACAAGCTAAAATCAGCCCAAAGCAAGGGTCATGGGTCATGACTCCTCATAACCCCCTGCCCTTGCTTTGCGATCATTTTGATATGCCATACAAATTCGGAGATGTAGGCGTGAGTGTATAACAATATTAAAGTTTTTAGTTCTTCTCATTAGCGCCCTAAAATTAAGCAGTAAGGTACTTTAGCACACAAACAGTCAAGAACCAGTACACAGAAATCTTCAAAAAAATAGTAAACTATAAGAAATTCACCACATCAATTAGTTAAGACAAAGATATTCTAGAGCTCCTTCACCGAAACCGTAGGTATAGGATATCCACATCCACAATCGTAGGTATAGATTGCACATACAATAATTTATCCAAATCCGTTAACTAACTTGATTAAGTTTATGGAACTCAAATAATGAGTCCTGAGTCTAAATTACTTGTGATGTTGTATTTTTAATTAAACTGTTATTGTACTTATAAATTAAATAACTAACCTTTTTTTTTCATGATTGTAGTAATACAATGTGGTAAACAAAATGTACCTTGTAGGAATTTAGCTCTGTAGGTCTTTATTAAAAACTTTTGAAACAATAAAACCATCATTTTTCTTTTATATTTTCCTGTTAAAATGTCTCTATCAAAACTACAGTCGAAACCGATTATAACGACATCGTTTACAACGACCGATCGGTTATTACAGCCAGATTGTAAAGTCCCGCCGGAATCTCTAGTAAACTATTCAGCAAACATACCGCTTATAACAACATCGGATACAGTGACATATCGCTTACAACGACGAAACTTTATCGATATTCATCGACTATAACGACCAACCGCTTCTTGTCCCCGCAAAACAAAACAATACGGACGATTTTAAATCTTATTGATAAGCATTGAAGGAATATTTGTACATATATTTGTACATGGTCATTAACTTGGAATACTATTGTATGTATAATGTCCTGAATTGGTGTACAATAAAGATTATTCTATTCTATTTAGACTATTCTAATTATTTCTTAATAAATATTTTTATTTCTTTTCTAACATTTCATTTGACAACAAGTTCACATACATAACCTATACCTATACTAGATAGATATGTAGGTACCTATAATAATATAACTACACAACTAATGTAACTGTATGTATGTGTATTGCTTATAACAACTATCGGATATGACGTCGGCAACTATACGGTCCCTTCAATGTCGCTATATCAGGTTTTGACTTTATAACTTAATTATAAATGTAATATATCCCTATCCAGTCTCGGACATGCATAACATTTCCGACATAACATTAAAAATACACAAACATTACAAACTTATTTCACATGTCTGATCTATAATAATTAATGACACATAGATGATGAGTCATGTGATAATGTGCTATAATGTCTTTGGAATGAGTATTATTATTCATTGCTATTCATTTATTTGGAGTACAGGGGGTCTTCAGGTGCTTGAGGGTGAACACCGAGTACATTTCTTGTACATATTGTATCTGTACGTAAACATTAAATAATGTAAATGTATCCATGAGCCATATTTGTTTAAAGACTGGTACTGGTAGGCCAAAACCTCCTTTCTAAGGAGAGGCCTATGTCCAGCAGTGGACTGTTAAAGGCTGTTGATGATGATGATGACTGGTACAAAGAATTTTTGACACATTTTCTCTGTCCGTTCGGTCTGTATACGCTTCAAAAACTCAAAAAGTTCTGCACTGATTGAGCTCAAATTTTGACATAATATACTACATACTTTAAAGATGGCTTTTATCTATTTTTTGCAACCACAATGTACCATAGCAGGGGACAGCTAGTATATAGATTATGGCTTATGTTACCCTAGTATTTGTTTCATGAGGTGTCGGCGGTAGTGGTGATGGTTGTGGTGCTGCTGATGATGATTGGGGTTGATCCCACAGTCCGTCTCCAGCATGTGCACCTCTGTTTATTATGATTAAATCTAGAGGATTAGGTGACAGTGCCATGGTTCTGGAAAGAGATAAAAATTATTGTTATTGTTCTTATTACCATATTGTGTCACTTTAAAAATTACACTTATTTGTGTGATGAGCATGATCATTTGTTGTCTTAGATCCACTTGAACACACACAAAAAAAAAAACAAAATTGGTCTATCCATTTATGAGTTCAGTCACATACACACACACACAAGAATTATATATTTAAAGATATATGAGATTAATATTGACTGGCCATTAGTGACCCTCACTGCTAAGCCAGAGGGTTCGATTTCTGCCTATTATAAATAGTTAGGTGATGAGCATGATCATATGTTCTGTGTCTGGGTGTAATTTGTCTATAATATGTATGTATTTAGAAATATATGTGTAAGTATGTTTATCATTATTATTATTATGTTTATCAGCAGTCTAGTTACTATAGTACAGGCTCTGTCTTGGGGTCAGACTGCCCTGTGTCAGATGTAGGAAGTTATTATTATTATTGAGATTTGCACTTTATTTCTCTATCTGTGATGTGTTTATATAACATAATCAATTACTTCAATGTCTTCAAATTAATGTCTATAAATGTATGATTTAATTCAATTATAATAAAAATTCAATTCAATTATTATTCTAAATATCAATTAATTCTAAATGGTTTTGTTTATTAATATTCTTATATTTGTTAAATTATAAATTTGATAGTTATCAATATTATGTTAAGATTGTGCAATTTGTTAATTCATGGATCATAGATCTGGCATAATATTATTATTACCATGATGACCATGTACTCAGTAAGAACCTACTGGTATCATGAAGTCTTGCCTTTACCTGATTGCGATAGCTGCGGTTAAAAATGGAGAACAATCGCTTTCATGATATTTTTATCTACCGACCATAGTTTATTTAGCGATAATTAGAAGTTACTTTTTCTAATGGGTTTTGAAAAATTTAATCTTTTAGTTTTCCACTCATTTTCCTTAAATCTTATCTTTTTCAACTAAAATGATTGAGAAATAATGAAATGGTTTTTCGGGAATTATCGATAGATCTATACGTTTCTTTACATTGTAAATGCAGGATATGCCTTGAAAACTTGTCTATACTAACCTGCCTTGTACGAGCACGAATTCTGAATTTATAAAAAAATCAAAATCAATAAGAGTGACTAATACAAACTTGTCATTAGCTGTAAAATCTACACATTACACAGTACAAATAGGTACAAATACATAAAAATAGCTGTCACTTTTGACGATAAACATGTTATCATAGAGAAAAAATATTACTTTTTGCCCATAGAGTATGAATTTATTTGGGTACCCTTCCAAAAATGACATCTTGGTCCAAAAATGCTACCTCTACAAAGCAACAATCGGTAAAAATTAATTATCAGCCTTTAATAGTCACTATCACATTTCCACAGTCCACACCACATTTTCACCTATTTCTTAAGTGGAAATGTGATGTGGGCTAGTGTTTTTTTGTTATTATTATTTTTCTTTTCTATTTTTTATGTTTCACTACACTTTCTCTTTTATTTGTTTTTTTTATTAAACTTATTTTTCTCTTTATTGTCTCTTTACCTTTTAGTCCTTAATAACGGACATACTGGCATACACATCAAAACAAGGTTGTGGTATATTTCAAGAAGCCATTGTATCTATCTGAAAATCGCAAAACGGACGGACATTTGCGGATCAGCACAGGCATATCATAGATTTTGTATTAGTATAATTTTTAATAAATTTATTTTGATAACTATTTGACAAAACAGAGATCGCTGCTATTGTGTGTGTGTTGATCGATACGACTTTACAGTGTACATAAAAACAATTTCAAAACTTTTTTTTGTTTATGAAATAAAGATACTTTGAATTGAATTGAATTGCTGGACATATGCCTTTTCTTATAATATGTCACATCTCACTTTATTTTATTATTCACTACAAATTGTTTTATTTTTACTATCAAAGTCAAAATGTTTTAATTCAATCAAATTGTTTTAATTCAATCAAATTGTTTTGCAATTACTATTAAATTTATTTGATTTTATATCAATCAAATTATTATGCAATTACTATCGTTCTCAGAATATTTTCAAACCAATATTTCTTTCTAATCTACCATACTAAACAACATAATGATCGTATATTTACACTATTGAACAGACACGCTGACAACACCCTTGGGCTGCGCTGAAAACCAGTGCTAGGTGCATTGCGCCTAGCATTATGCTGAGCCGTGGTCCATATCGGTACAGATGTAATTTATACATGTTTCTGTTGTAATTATATCACAATCCTGTAAAATGTGCCAATTAAAGTATTTTTCTTTCTTTCTTTCTAGAAAGGTTTGGCCTACAATACCACGCTAGCCAGGCGGGTTGTTATAGGGATTGTTGTTGTTGTTGGGTTGTTGATATAAAACAACAGCCTATATCAATTTTCCAGAACAATCAATAACAATTTCGGTTTGAAATGAGGCCTTCCCTGCAATATTTAAGGTTCATATAAAAAATGAACCTTAACTATGTTCTAGTATACTAGTGTTGAACCTCACAGTCATAAGTTACAAGGGTTAATGTCTTTGACAATAATGTATAATGTAATAACAGACCTGAGAGTCTCGCTTCATTCATTCTAAACTTATTTTTCAAGAGTACATGCAGTATTGAAAGCCTCAAAAACACTGGGCTTCATAATGAGAATATCATCAGATTTTTAGAATATCAAAACAATAAAAAATCTAAACTGTTTGTAGCCTGTTACAACATGCTAGTCAAATCTCAAATCTATTTTACAAAATCTGAACAGACTGTCATTAAGAGTTTACAATGCAAATTCATGACGACTTTTTACATTTAGTGACTATTCACGAATAAGTACCATTTACCTAAAATGTAGGAAGAAAATTTACATTCTGAATATTTTACAACCAGGTAGCTATCTATATAAGAAGTAACTTAAGCAATTTTTTCTCTCAGAAAAACCCAATAAAATTTTGTTGCACGGTCCGGGAATCGAACCCGAGGCCTCAAGGACTGCACCACTAAGGCAGCGCTTAAATTGAACACACATTTAAAATTCAAATTAAACTCGAATGAAGTCGCGGGTACCTAGTAATAAATAAAATACATTATTAGGAATTTACTTTTTGCGTTTGATCATTATGAAGGCCAAACTACGTGTATCCTTTAATATGAATGAACAAACTATTAGAAAGATGGAGATCTATATAATAATTAACTACAAATTAAAGCCCTCTAGTTCAATTTTATTTTCGTAATAAAATAATTGTTGAGGTGTGAATAAAAAGTCTTTTAAAATTCAATTCCATCTACTCTTGATCTTACAAATGTCGTAATGGGGACTCTTTATTGCGTTTTTTATTGAGACACCAAAGTATAAGCTATGATGCAAGAGAAAGGTAAGCATAATTTATGCATCTGTATTTATCTCATGTATAAGTCAAAATATTTTGCCAACATCTGACACACAACGCCATCTAGTTTTAAACTAAGCAGAGCTCGTACTATGATGAGATTGACAGATAGAAAACTTATATACTTTATGTTTGTAAGTACATACATATTATACATAGAAAACACCCAAACTCCAGCACAAATATTTGCAGTTCATACAAACATTTGGTCCTACACAGGAATCGAACCCGAGACCTCAGCACAGCAGCCGCATACGATACCACTGCACCTTCTTACATTCACCTGACGGTAACTGAACCATTGCCACCCATTAATACCAACAGCTCAAGAGACACAAGTGCTTTGCTGTCCTTTTTGAATGCCCCAAAACCACAAATAGGGGGGATTAGGCTTCCGGTAACCTTCACTCGATGAAAAGCAAAAAAAACATCGCATAGGAATTCGATCGGGTTTCAAGGCGACGATCTGATCTGCGTAGATCACGTTTCACTGATAAAGATGACGAAGAAAGCAACGAGATAATTCAACGATTTAGATTGGTTCGAACAACGTCAACCAATATTGTTGCCCTAGAACTTAGACTCTCACAGCGGCAAATGTAGTATGCTGTGAATGTTGCGGGCCTATACCCATGTACGCTGGTACAAGTTATTGAAGAAGGAGAATACTTTGAAGAGATTGGATTTCTAAAGATTTATGTAGACCCGTTATTTTATTTCTGAGATATTTCATGGTCATGAGTAGTCCAAACTTGATAAAAACCGTATAACTAATTAACACAGCGTTAATTATTTGCCTCGAATATGTAGATGGGTATTGTCAAACCACTTGATTGGTTTTTTTTTCTCCCCGAGAACACTACGAAACCTTTTTAGGTACAAAATTCAATTAACTTACTTGATGATTAACCATTTGATCTCATCTCATTCGCGGCATAAGGTTTCAGGATGGTGGTTGCACTGCGAATTATAGGAGAAGAGAGAAAGAATGTCTGAATTCTAATTAATAATAAGTTGGTTGAGTGGATCGTGCGAATACGCATTGGCAGTATCCGTAACAAATCAAAATGTCAGCATATTCCTCGTTCGTATAGGTCGTTATCTTTAACAGTATCAGAAGTACAAATACAAGGTCAGTAGTCAACAGTACAGAGGTCAGTTAGTAATAGTTAGTCATGAATAGAAAACGAAACAGTCCAAAAATACAAGCCAAGTTTTCAACTAGGGACTACCGGGTTGTACGCTAATTCTTAATACTCCCGGTTTTTCACCTAAGACTTTTTTTTCTTTTCTTTTTCATAATTATCATCATACTATCCTTTTTTTTTTTTGTTGACGGAGTGGAAAATCCCTTCGGATCCCCGGCTCCCTGGGGATACAGGAGCCAGGAGTATGTGGTGATTACACAAAAAACCACTCCGACGGCCAGCCTCAGGCGCCCCGCCCTGGGGAGAACCCGGGCCATGTGATTTCAGGTCCCCCAGATCGACGCCGCACCTAGCTAAGTCCCATCTCAGGGAAAGCCAGTGGCTTCTCCCTGCCACTCAGCCTATTCAGATGTTGCAGCTCGATCACATTTTCAGTGCGATCAGGCTGCCATCCTTTCCCCTACCGCAGCAATTAATCTGCCACCAGAGGTCCCCACTCTCTGGCGGCCCGCGGTCCCGTCGATCATCATACTATCCTAGACTATGATACCTTTTTTAGAAAACTGACAATACGTACATATTTTTTAACATATCTGCAGTTTTACTGCTACCGATTTTTTTTTAAATATTCGTGAATTATTTTTTTTAACTCCCTCAATTCCTGCAATCTGTCTATTCAACATTTAGCTGGATTTTAAGTATTTTGTATGAGGACGTGTTTGGAGCAAATCCAGTGATTTGCCCAACTATGTTGAAGCATCTATGTGTCCAATAGATCTTGCGGCGCTGGTCTCCTTAATCTTCTGAAAGTTATGCCAGGTTTCTCCTTCATTAGATTCCTTGCAAGTTGGTTTGGGTGTTTTTGCATACGGTTCCTATAAGTTTGCAAACTTATATTCTTAATGAATTTTTTTTTATTTACATAAAATGTTCTTTTTGCTTTTATTAATCATCTACTTCGGCCCAGTCGGTTAAGTTACACAACGTATCAACTACACAAAAAGACATAAAATAAAGGATATAAGTTAAAAAAAAATGAGGCAAAATTGCGCAGTTTTTATAAAAATCGTAAAAGTTCAATATCTTGAAAATGGTTGGGTTTTGGATATGGTATTTCATACTGAAATCTATTAGAAATGATAACAACTACAACCCCTTAAAGTACTTAGGTCGACTTACCCAGTAACTCTGTATATCCTGTGGCATCGGGGACTTTACAAACATACGTGAAACGGACACAAAGAACACCCAGACTCAGAACAACGATTTGTTCAACACACTAAGTGGTGACCCACGTGGGGATCGAACCCACAACACTCAGAGCAGTAGGAAGCGGCGTGGCGACCGCTTAAACCACTACGCCATCCGTGCAGTCAAGTCAATATTGTTCTTGATTACTAGTTAAAAAGTACATTTAAAATGTAGTTGTAGGTCTCTGAATATCCCACGATAGTGTGAGAGAGTGTGTACTTCCTCACTAGACATGTTACAAAATCACAGTGAACTGAATTTTTTCATTCAATTTTTGCGTACGGATGTTAGGGTTGCTAGGTAGGTAGGTTAGACGCTATTTAACAGTAAAACTAGTTTTTTTATTACATATAAATACCATTATATTTATATGTAATAAAAAAATCAGTAGATTTACTGTTAAATAGGTGAAATACGGTCTTCATGCACCAACAAAAACAGCTTATTGGCAACAACGCGTGAGTAAGTAGCAACCCTAACCTGCGTACGAAATAATCGAACGATAAATTTCACTGTGATTTTGTCCCATGTCTATTCGGCACATATGAGCCAGGCTCGACCGGATTGATACCTGGGCCTCACAGGAAACCGGTGTGAAACAGTTCTTTCGTTGCTTTTCACAGAGTCCTCCTACCCGCTGGTTCTGGGGGGAAGGACTGAAAGGGCGGCAATGCACTCGTGCAGGTGTCTATGGGGGACGGCAGTCACTTTCCATTAGGTGACCCGTCTCCTATTTTTCCCCTCTATACCTACCATAAAGAAATAGGTGACCCAGCTCTTCAACTACAAACAAGTAGGGCTTGTCTTTGAATTTTTTTTTTATTGAACGTGGAAGGAGACCAAAAAACAACCCTCGCTAAACGCGGCAACTTCTCACTTGTGGAATATATATTTCTTTGATGAAGATTTGATAAGATTATATGTGCATTGTTTACGTTCAACATATCAGATTATGACACTATTGGAATACATGGTTTATGATGATCGGTTGAGTAGTTAAGATATTAAAACTTAAAAAAACAAAAACATATATTATTCAGATTTCTAGTTTAAGTTAGGGTAAACAGTTCCGAACATTTTTTTTCGTGTCTATCGCCACTGCTCCGGTTCTTAAGGTACCTGGCGGGAAGTGACAACAATATTCGACATGCCAAATAATAATATGCACATTTATTTTACTTTTTATTAATTTCATGAATTAGGCATTTAAAATGTAAAGGAACTAATGAGTACCCTTTAGAGGGTACAAATGGTTCCCCTGCAACTGGTACCCGAGACGGCTTGCCGTTTTTGCTCGGTTCGAGCCCGGCATAACCACCCCACCGGTGGATGACATCTGAGGGGACTTCCGTACAGAAAAAAGGTTTACGAACACAGAACAGAACACAGAACCATCTACCTACTTAGCAAACAGGGTTATTAAGGTATAAGGTTGAAGTAATGATAATTTCAGTACAATATTAAATTATTTCATTCATTATTCCGATAAGATTGTGATTGGAAGCTCTAATAACTACTGAAAGAAAACACTTCATTAGTTTTCAGACGGTCAATATGATTTTAAAATGCACTTATTAGATATAAGAGGTTTTGTTCATTCCATTTTCATTCTGTTGTGACAAAAGAAGAAAAAGAAGTCCAAAAACGAAATGTAACTCGTCTCGCAATACAGGAATGGTTGAAGTGACAGTTCGCGCAATGAAGAGCGCGTGCGCGGCCCGGGATTCGCCCCGGAACAGCCTGGCAACTCCCCCTGATCACTAGTGGTGTTCCGATACAGGTCTACAATGATTACTCTTATCTATTAATTTTGAAGGGCAGTATGTTTGTATGTCGATAGTTTTTGAATCACCTTTGTTTGGAGATATTGGTACTTTGTATCTTTAGTGTTTTTTTCTTCCTTGCAGTTATGTGTGAGGAGACAAGACTACTACACACTCTTGTTTCGCGCGCATATTAAGCCTTCTTACACGCTTATTTTTCCACTAGTGTTTCTTGAACTTTGCAAGCTTATGTCCGATTAGCATTCATAGTAGAAAATCAGGTCTAATTAAAGCAGAAACGTGCTGTGCTTTAAGGCCCTTAAGGGAGAAAAAATTAGGTCCGAAGAATACTGTTTACTATAATTCATCATGACGTCTTTGAACTTTTTTAAGTTAATTACTCCTTTACTGAACAAGTGTTATACAAGACGTGTCATGCTCATTACTATCTTAAGAAAATTTGCATAAAATTAGAGTAACAACTGCAGTAACGTTCTAAAAGATATACGAGTATTTCCCTCTAAAACAAGCCAAAGGATATAGATTGAGTTCGAAGAACACCGATAAATAGAATAATTTCATTTCTAATTTTAGCTGAAATTGATTAATAGACTTTTATTATAATACCTACTCATAGTATCTGCTATTTTAACTCATTATCATTACAGGCTGAGCGGTGCCGTCGACACCAAAAGATACCCTGCGCAGCACTACACTGCAGCATTTTCAAGGACACATCTTTCAGTAGGCTGCAAGCAGCCGGCGTATTCACACGATGCTAGTCCCGCTATGACAACATCACGCGAACCTCGTTCCAACGACACTGTTGAGTTGTTACCTTTGAAGTCGGCTTTAGTCAACAATAATTACAGAGATGAAGACTCATATTACCCGCCGCCGATTAACAACAACCCTTCAAGCTCAAATCTCTACGATTATACATTATTGTCGAAGAGAACGCCGGCCTCAAAAAGGTATTTTTGTTTATTTTCTTTGTGTGACCTAACATTGTGTGGTCTGTGTTTTTATTTTTATTAGGAAATATACTAATAATATAATTTAATGTGCTGTTGTCTATTTTTTATAATTTTTCATTGATCAAGACTTCTTCTGAATTTAAATATTGATGTCAAATAGAACTTTCAAGTCTTTTGTCTGAATTTGAATAAAAAAGAAATTAAAGCTAAAATAAAAAATAAAGAAATAGGTGTCTGTGTAAGAGAAGTGTATTTATGTAATTGTATTTTGAATGACGTAAACAAAAGAATGTTTTTTTCAAAGAAATGATTGTTTTTATAATACTGAACCTCTTTAGAAGCTCAGGAGTTTTAGAAATACAGTAGACAAAAATAAAAATAAATCGGTAATTCTTTTTTATCGATCACAAAAGGTTAGGTTATTACAATTTAATTATTTTTGATTTAGGCACTTATATATTGAGTACCTTGTAACGTTGTATTTTATTAATTAGACAGGTAGCTATTCTTCTAGTTTATTCGGCGTATTTTTTTTTCTTTAATGACAACATTTCAATGACGCTATAGTTTTATTATATAAAAGATTTTTGATGTTCTCCGAATTTCGCCATTTCCAAACAAAATTTCCAAAACCCGAGCTTCATTGCATTTAGGACCTTTAGATTCTTTAACTTTACGCCTAGTTTATACATATATATTATAAAAATAAATATTTATACAAATAGATAAATATAGATACTTCGAGAAATAACGAGTTTTTTTTGGTTTCGTTGTTTATGCTTAGGTGCTTATGATTCCTTTCAGTATTAATCAGACCCTAGCAGTAATAAAACATCAGTACAAGTCTGATATTACGTGGAGTTAGAGTATATTTGAAAGTGCTGCAATGGTTTTCAGTTCCTAAAAAAGTGCACAAAAGACTGGGTAGGTAGATTTATGGGAACATGCAGTAGCTACAACATGAAAAATTTAAAACACGTTCCTAAATTGCTAGTAGCTTTACCACTAGTAAAGTAATTGTTCTCCTTAGGTTTGCCACCCGTACTACAATAATGCATATTTTTTGCCTATACTAACGGACCCTACAGACGTTAACCTGTACAGATAGATGTCTTAAACTAAAAAAGCATTTTGTAGTGGACCGAATTGTGAATCGAAACTATTCTCGAATCCACTTGAACACACACAAAAAATTCATCAAAATTGGTCTATCAGTTTAGGAGTTCAGTCACATACACACGCACAGAAGAATTATATATTTAAAGATATATGTATGTATGTATACTATAGTATTGTACTTAATTTTGACTGACCGTTAGTGACCCTGACTGCTATGCCGGAGGGTTTGATATCTTTGAGTGGGATGAGCACAATCATTTGTTATGTGTCTGGGTGTAATTTATCCATTATATGTGTGTATTTATAGATTTTCAGGCTCTGTCTAGTTTTATTATAATTACACTATAATAATAACCTCAGACATCTCACACACGGCAGTCTGATCCCAAACTGGGCAGGGCCTGTACAATTATTATATCAGTATTGTACGTTTAACAAACAATAATGCATTATTTATCATGCTATAAAATAGGAGACACTCTCGAATATAAAAGGGTTTTATCCTTTTTTATACCCAATGTACGGTCGCAAAGGATTTTCCTTGTACTCTTGACACGGATAAAAAGTCTTTTGAGAGGCATAATGAGGGATAATTTTGGGTTGGGGACGTGAAGTACATACGGTAAAGTATATACAGTCTAGGTAAAATTATTTTTACCAATGTCAAAAAAAAAGAGAATGCTTGAAATTTATCGCGATATTTTATTTTTACTTTATAATATAATAATATTTTCACATATTTCGTCATACACGGCCGTCTGCTCCCAAACTAGGCAGAGCCTGTACTATTGTAACCAGACTGCTGATAAACATACATATATATTTCTAAATACATACTTGTTATACTCGTAGATAAAGTATATCGTGGTATAGTGGGCCAAAACCTCCTTTCTAAGGAGAGGCTTATGTCCAGCAGTGGACTATTAAAGGCTGTTGCTGTGATGTGATGATGTGCTTCGAAAAGCACGTTAAGACGTCGGTCCCGGTTGCTATACGAACATTAGTGGCAATCGTTACGCGAAGATGGAGCCCTAAAAAGTTTGACAATAGTCTATCTACAGAACTTCGATATCGACTAGTAGGTACTTGGCTTGTGGAGGTCTGGTGACAGTCGCTCCAAGTTAATTAAAAATGATGTTACAACAGCTACATCAACCAACACTGTACAGTATATTAATAACAATAAGTAAATATAATTACAGTATGTTTAGTTCCGTCTTCAGAATGTCCACCAAACTTGAATAATGTTACGAAAACTAGAGCCATGCAGAGCCGGTTGGACCGGAGTGGTATTTTTTTGGTATTGGTATTGGTTGTGGGCTTCGGTTTCCGCATTTAGACTCAGAGTGGTCCTTTATGCGTCGAGGATTGGTTGACTAGGTGAGCCAGCCAAGCTCCTTCCAGAAGCGCAGAAGCCCCCTGGGGCGTTCACAGGCTTCTAGGAGCGACTTTATATCGTTAATGATACTTGCCCGTTGTGTGGCCACTCCCTCGCATTCCAGGATTACGTGGACGGCCGTTTCTTCAGCTTCCAGACATCTCCTGCACAGGGAACTGTCCGTCGCATTGATGATGAATAGCTGTCGGTTCAGGGCTAGATGTCCTGGAATAGTTCCGACAACCATTCTGATTTCCAATCTGCTAAGACTGATCAATCTGCAGGTGAGTCGTGGTGTGACTTGATTCAGCACCAGTTTGGACTGTCTGCAGCCGGGGTGAGTATTTCCACCTCCGGTTGTGTGCTTCACAGGTCCGTTGCCTGACCCAGCATCGTATTTGGTTAAACGATATGGGCAGGAGTGTGGTTGGGCCGGAAGTCGGGGTTACCGAGCCCCTCCTTGCCAACTCATCTGCGGCATCTTTCCCGAGTGGTATTCTTTCGTTGATTTTCACTGAGTAAGTGAGGTCCAGAGGCCAAATCTTCCCCTTCTCCTTGGTTCTGGGGGGTGGGGGGCGGGTCACCTATGGCACTTGAGCTGCCGGTGTTCATGGGCGGAGGTAGTCACTTACTGTCAGATGACTCAACTGCTTGTTTCCCCCCTATAACAAAAATACATAAATCAATGAAACAAGGATAATCATCAGTCTATCGCAGACCACTGCTGGGCGTGGGCCTCTCCCATTGCACAATTAAGAATGAATAATTATTCAATTCGTGTCCGTGTGGTGACCTATTAAGAATACGGAGTGTCACCACCCTTATTCATTACGTGGGTTTCGTAAGAGCCGACTAAGGGAGCAAACTACGCAGGATAACAGCACTGCAAAGAGAAGGCAAACTTGAAACAAACCCTACACCAACTCGTCTGGCCAGCTTGGTATAGTAGGCCAAAACCTCCTTTCTGTGAAGGGGCCTATGTTCAGCAGAGGACTACCAAAGGCTGTTGATGATAAAATTTTCAAAATTTTATTTTTCATGGTCCAACGACCACCGGTTTAACATGGGAGAGATATGCTTCGGCACGAATGGGCCAGGTCGACCGAAGTGATACCACGGCCTCACAGAAAACCGATTTTAACCGGCTCCCGCTGACTCGAGCAGAAAGGACTCCAAGGGCAGCAACACACTTGTGACTTTTGAGTTGCAGGTGTTCATGGCCGGCGGTAGTTGCTTACCATCTGGTGACCCATCTGCTCGATTGACCCCTTATACCATAAAAAAAACCAGGGCGCATAGTGGTCGGAAAAAGACCATACTTAAGAAAAAAATTAAGGAGTTCTAATTAGAATAACAGTTTTAATCTTAATTTGATATCAAATTAAGTAAGAAGACCGGGTATCGTAAAAGATCGGAAGTCTAACGTAGCAATTTATATAGAAGTGTATAAATACCGTTCTATTCGAAAACGAAGATAAGTGGACGGGGTTGGTGGTCGATGGAAATTGGAAACTTTCTAAGTCGTGCTGACCGCGATTTGTGGGGATAGATATCATTTATATATATCAAAGTCGCGTTAGATAGATAAAAGGAATGATACGAACTGTAGATTAAATATGGTCCAGCTAAACGTGCTAGGTGGAGGTGGTTTTATCGCTGACAATGTAGGGAGGGTTATATAGGCAGTGACATTCCGGGCTCTAATATAATTAAATTTTCAATTTGCCTTAACACTTCTCAACTTATTAAGAACAGGTAAAATTGTTGCACTGATATTTAATACCACGCTACTCTATACAATACAACTCGGGGACCCCCACCATTTTGGAATAAATTAGTGGTGTTATGCGATGAGGAAACGATTGCACATTTAGTCCCCATAGTTCTTGTTTCTTTTCGTGTAAATAATTTCAGAGTCAGGTATTATCTAGGAGTATATATGTAAAGGGTGTAAGGGACATCGTAACGAATCCTGAAATAGTGTATTCAGATCATCATTCTGAGTCGAAAATCATTGGAATTTTCTGCCGGAAAATTGAAAGTTTTATGCAATCAGTTGTCAAAGGTTCAGGTCATTCCCCGTTAGTATAGCACAAAAGTAATAAATAACTACATTTATATTCCGTGCATACAGTCTACGCACACTAACATAAGTTGGTGGCCGGTGGGCAGGCCCCGCGCGCTTGGCTGTTTGATTAATTACATTGTTTTTGACCGTATGCGGTATTTATTAAATTATTTGCGGTAAAATGTTCTGTTTACTCATTGTGATATCATTTTTCATCATTTTAACAAATAGAAAATATATAAAAAAATAGGCATATAGGCATTTTTCGGCAGAAAATTCCAATGATTTTCGACTCTAAATGATAGTCTGAATAGACTATTTCAGTATTCGTTACGACGTCCCTTACACCCTGTATAGGCACATGTAACCGCTTAATTAAAAGGCTCTGTGTCTTGTTTACACGTACCTACAAAACAGTTTTATTGCCAATCATTTTCGGATTTTTAAATACTAAAGTACTTTTTTTGTAAACTAAACGAGATTGAAGAAAAGAAAAAGGTTTTATTAAACTTTTGGGCTTTTTGAGATGTTTTAAAAGGCCTCTTAAGACACAAACAATCCAAGAATTAGGAACGCTAAAATTCCGGACTAAAGTTAGGTTATAATTTTATTCTGTCTTTTTGTTTAGTACTAAGACTTACGTCAAGTTTCGTTTATAATTAAGTTTTTTTTTCTATTTTTCTTCAGACTGCTATCTCGGAACACGCAGCCGACACCGACACCGCTGTTGACATTATGCGGCGCGCCGCCCCCGTCCAGGAAGCGCGAGGAGCTGGCGGCGCTCGCTAATCTTCGGAAGAAGGTGGCACCAGCCTTGCTACAGAGCGATAGGTAAGTGATATCTACCATTTACGTAAGATTAAGTTCAAAAATTGTAAGGGTCTCCTCAGTCAGCCTGCAGTGCTGCTCGGTTCGTTTGCATCAGTTTATTAACGGGCCCGTTGGTCTAGTGGTGACCCTGACTGCTAAGCCAGTAGTGGGTTCGATTCCTACTCAGGACAAATATTTGTGTGATAAGCACGATCATTTGTTCTGTGTGTGGGTTTAATTTATTTATAATATGTATGTATTTAGAAATACTTATGTATATTTATTAGCAGTTTGGTTCCCATAGTACAGGTTTTGCCTAGGTTGTAATCAGACGTATGTGAGATGTGTGAGATTATTATTATTATTCATCATCATCAACAGCCTTTAATAGTCCACTGCTGGACATAGGACCTTAGAAAGAAGGTTTTGGCCTACTATACCACGCTGGCCAGACTTGTTGGTATAGGTTTTGTTTCAAGTTTTTCTTCTCTTTGTAGTACTGTTGTCCTTATTATTCTACGTGTATTTGTTTAATCTATCTATCTAATCAGTCTGTTGCACCCATTGCTGGAAACAGGCCTCTTCTCTATCACGCCACTCCTGGCGGTTTTGTGCCAGTCGAATCTATTGCTTTCCTACCGCCCTCACAATGTCGTCTGACCATCTTCTCTTGGCCACCATTCGGTAACTGCCTTAGTCCATCGATCGTCATCCTGTCTGGCCAAGTGCCCTGCCCATCTCCACTTAAGCCTGGCAATCCGTTTACCCACATCCTCGACTTTGGTGCGGCTTCGAATTTCGACGTTTGGTATACGGTCCACGAGGTGGATACCTAGCATGGCCTGCTCTATGGCTCTTTATACTTTACAAAATACACGTAGAATGCAAATGTGCAGACGGGTTACCTGATGGTAAGTGACTATCGTCGCCCATGGGCAAAAAAAACTTGCAGCTCAGAAGTCATCTCCCCACCCGAACAGATCCCTTTATTCTTAGAGAAGGATATTATGTGTAAAGGGTTGGTTTTAGGCTAGAGCAAAACGAGATAAATTAATAATATTCCAAATAATACTATTAATTAAAAAATGTTTAAAGTATTTATTATAAGTAAGAGCGAGTGAGGGTTTTGGCTGAATCTATTTAAAACTTGACTTCAAAGTTTTTGTCTAAAAACGTTTAAACGAAACAGTTGTGTTCTCTAATAGAACATTTAATTAACAATTATTAAATTAACAAACGGATGTGAAGAGGTTATGGATTCGTATTTGGCACTTTTTGATTACGAGTACGTTCAGTAATTTTTAAAATACATAGGTACGTCTAGAACGTAGGTATTTTCAAAATTACTGCACGTCTAGTTTTTAATTTTAACACGACTCGGTCCATGAGTTTTTTTATACCTCTTTAGTCACTCGACATCACAGTGTTTCATTTCATTTTTGAATGCACAAGTTTAGGCTTGGCGAACTTACGAGAAGTTGTACGGGTCAGCTAGTGAGTCATAAAAATATATATATACCTCGGGACTCCGCTTTCTCTACAGTAAGCACTAGACATGGGACAAAATCATCATGATTTATTATTCGATTTTTTCGTACGTAAGTTAGGGTCGCTACTTACTCACGCCTTGTTGCCAAAAAGCTGATTTCAGACGATGCATAAAGACCCTATTGCGCCTATTTAACAGTAAATCTAGTAATTATTTTATTGTATATAGCTACCATTCTACATTTCCCTCCATTACACTTTGACGGTAATAGAAATTATCGTAAGAAAACGCTTAACGACAGTTTTTTCTTATGGCAGCATGGATTAAAGTGTCTTTTGTTCCCAGGTTTGTAAACTAAGCTATCTGTGGACTCAATGCCACCTACTTACATTCCGATATTCTATATGAACAGCTCTACTGCATGGCTCTCAATTAACTCAATTAAATCTGTGGATTCATCTATCTACGTCACTAGCGCACGTACTCTGTCGGGATTAAATCCGAACAGGCAGTTAACATTTATTGCAAAATTAAGAATCCATATGCTTGTGCTGAATTTATTTAAAATAAATGACCAATGCAAAAATGAACTCGTGGGGAAATATCTCTTTGAATCTGGATAATTCCGTACAAAACAGTATTAATTTTTTATACAAGTGAAGGTATTAACTAACCTAACTTGGTGAAGACTTAACTAAATAATTTTATTGCTTAAAACCACGTGAACAGTCACTAATATATATTCTAACTGGTGTTGCGTCAAATTGACTCTACTTAAACAACAAATTAAAACTTTTAAGGAATATACGAAATACTATAAACAACGAGGCAAAATGCCTCTATTATTCGTTTGTACAAGCTGTGACTCACGCATCCTTGTATAGTGTATTTTATTTAAGTGTATAAAAAACCTAATGAAAGGTAAAAAAAAAGAAAGTGGAGGCCATTGTTCAGTTATATCCTTGGTCTGGAGCAAGAGAGTATGGAATTGCGCCACCTCATTCCATGAAAAAACGCACCGTCGTACGCACTCGGTGCGTCTTTTATACGTCGTGTGAAAGACGCACCGAGCTCCGGAGAGTGTAAACGATCTTCAGCCTTTTGCGTCCTTGGGCCCATTACCCGAAAAAGAGACGACACGGTGGAACGAAGTGTACCGGGCGCGCCCCCAAAAAATAAAACGGTTTCCTTTGTCAACCTAAGGTTACCTAAGGCCCTGGCCATAATACTCGTACCCGATGACAGAACACTGAGTGGCAGACATATCATATTGCCGTTTGGCCCAGGTGATGTTGCATCATGGCGGTTTCTTCACACCATAAAAAGTTTACAAAAATATATTTTTTATAGATTTTTCTGCTCTCTTTCAAGTTGAGGCTTTAAGCAGCGTAAGGTTGTCATGTAAATGTCTCTGTGACTGTTCTAAAAAGTTATAACTTCAGAATCTATCAGATTTTCTGTGTGTATTAGTACCCCATTAATATAAAAAATTGTTTAATATTCAGATAGAACATTAAATAAATAGTTCGACGTCCAAAACTTTCTATTCTGATGCCTTTGCCTTGATAACACTTTGACATGACATCTTTAATCATTTGAAATGTGGATTTTAGAGGCCAAATACATTAGGCCTACTTTAAATGAGAATAATAATCACTGTTAGACATTAGAATAGTTTTTATACTGGCGGCATACTTATAGTCATCAGTGAAGTGAGTTACTTCCGACAACATTCTTCGTGTGAAGGAAGATTGATGGATTTGAACGTGCCCTTTTAATAGTACCATTACTTTTCATTAGGGTTCCGTGTTCTTAAAATGTCTAACGTATTTTCTTTGCTTTTTTAGAATAGTTTGCTTATATGTACCCTGTTTAAAATACACTAAACATATGGTACTTATGCAGCAATTCAGTCTGCACTGGAAAGCCTGGGAGGAGATAACAAAATCCCCTTTTTTTTTTTTTCGTGTGGAAATCCCCTAGGATACCACCTGTCGGTGGCATGTCGGACTCGAACCGACTAAAACCGCACGCCGTCTCGGGTACTAATAGCCGGGGAACCAGGTATACCCTAGAAAGGAAGTCCCTGGTGCCCCGACATACCTCGGGTCATCTACAGACGAGTAGACGCCCCCCCCCCCGTGTGGGAACCCCGTGTTCCCTGTGCTCCCTGGAAGCGAGCGCGCTTCGCAACGCGCTCGCCGCCACCCCGGCCTGCAACAAAATCCCCTGGGGAGACGAAGTGAACTTTGTCTGTTTTGAACTTTGGGATTCTAGATCCGATGTTCATAACTGCAGTCTAAAGTACAGAAGTTAAAGTTTACCACAGAATAACATAAAAGGAAAAATCCACCAAATTTAATTTACAATAATTGTACCAATTATCCAAAACCGAGGGAATGTCTACACGACCCATAAAAATTGACTGAACGGTGAAATTTTATCTGCATGACATTAAATGTGTTTAAGTAGACTGCTCATAAATTAAGCTCTCGGAAATGAAACACATACGCTTGCCTACAATCTCCTATTAAAAAGCCCTAACAAAGTTTTCTTTAGAATGCCCATTTAACATATAAAATAACGTTTGGTATACGAGTTTTCAATAGTTAAATATAGTATGTTAGATTATATTTAACTCAAATACTATTTATCTTCACAAAAAGCAGTTTCCGTGATATATTAGGGTATTCGTGTAGAATATTGGATAGCGTGCATCTCCATTAAATTATCACGGAAGTTGGAAAGAACATTCTATTGTATACTTATTAACTAACCTTCAGCGAACTCTGACATTGTTAACACTGACTATACTGAAGGCAAGCACGCAACGGGAATGAGTTTGCGGTATTGTATTTATCCAGCGCTTGCAAAATCGAACTTCCCGCAATAGCGAAGCAATTTCTTCTTGTATTTGTTATTTCGTAGTATTTATAGTGCAGTGGTAGCACTTTTATGGACAGTAATTTAACCTTCATTACATCTTCTTTCTTAAGAATATTGTGAAAAAAATCGATATAAAAAGTAACTAGTTGTCTACTTAGTTTCTATGAACTTAAATTGTGCCATGTTTAATTTGAATCCATTAAGCGGTTTCGACGTAAAGCGCAGCCAAGATACAGTCGGACAGACAAAAAAAGTTGAAAAAGATTATGTTGTGCTTTATAGCATCTATGTGTATATATAGAGTATGTGGCGACTCCCACATAAACATACTACAGCGCCATCTAATGAAGACACATCGAACTACGGAGTAACTACTAAAATAAGAATTGCTAATCCTGTATCGCGATATAAAGAATCCCCTCGCCGATTAGCATATATACAACTTCCCAACATCAACCGTTGGGCCGCGGCCCGCCAGGCATGATCACCTCACCTGGTCGGAGGATCCTCCCTTTGTGTTGGAGGGACATGACACCCGTTCCTCCATAAGTACCTTTCAAAAAAAAAATCATAAATATTTAGGAGCAGAATTAGACCTGGGTCCAGTTTTCTTGTAAGTCTTCATTAATATGTAGAAATATATAATTACT